CCTTCCTTGCGTCCTTCAACGGCCTTGAGTTTTCCAAATGGAGGGGAGAGTCTGCGAAGAATGCTAGCCGTCAGAAAATAGTTGCTCATCAAGCCTGAGAGGGCTAGCGGGCCGAGGGAACGATAAAGCTGGAAGCTAAAGACGCATAAGTCCACGAGCGGCTTTCCGAGAGAAGAGTATAAGTTAGCGGCCGCTGCACAGAACAGCGTTAAATCTTGCGTGATAAACTGATCCGCCCCGTGGCCCACACCGCCATCCAAGTTGTGAAGCTTGTAGTAGTTCAGGTTCTCGTTCAAGTATAGATCGTGAATGTATCGGGTGAGGCGGGTGCGGAATGCAATGGACACTTTCGATTCCAAAAATTTGATCATGGCATTGGTATATGACGCAAAGCCGCCTAAGCCGCACCACTGTGAAAGTGCGTGGTAAGTACAGCACTGGGGAGAATATGGGTCAATGAGGCACATCAAATGGGTGGAACTTACTTTCACAATGCCCCAAAGGAAGGCCTTTCCATTTCCAGCCACCAAGTCGCGGACCAGCTCACCATCCAGCCGTGCGACAACGAGCGACAGATATGTTCGAAGCATCAGGAATATACCATGGCTGAGCAACAGACCTGCCTCCTTACTTGACCACCGTGGGATCACGATGCTCAGAAGGCTCAGAAATTGGTGCAAAAAGGCCAGGTTCAGGCCGGGCTTCGTCTGTGCCGAAGGAACCGTACCGTCACCTAGGCCAGATACCCGCGGTGGATTTAAAAACAGGCGACGGTGTGCTTCAAATGTCAGGGGTTTCGTAGTGTTGATGGTGACCTTGGAAGTTCCATTTTTGTAGGGTACGTAGATTGTTCGGGAGCCGTCATCGTTGTGAAGCCACGAATTTGTCCGGACCAACTTGCGGCCCTGCTCTCGCTCTTGATGTTGTCGCTTCCATCGTCGCCGGTAGCCCTCGCCTCCGAGAACTATAGTGAGAGTGAGGGCAAGAGTAGCGAGGATTCGAGTGACTCGTGAGGTTGCGCGAAACCTCGATCGTGCAGCCGATGTCCATTTGTCGATGAAGGCGGCCAAGGCGTCCTCGGCGGCCGTCCGTCTAAGGTTGGATTGAGCGGCCATAGTGAGGTTCAACGCTCGCAACGAGATGCCGGAAACCGCTGCGCGCGCGAATGAACAAGTTTACAGGGTAGTCATGAAGTCCAGCTGCGGGGAACGGAGGTCACGGTTAGAAAGTGAGGCGAATAAGGCCAACAAACAGCTGGTCGATTGACTCGATTGCCTTTGCGGTGATAAGAGAGTAGGCCGTCAAGCGTCAAGTTTCAGTTGACGTTATGGAATCTCCATGGTGGCGCATTATGGAGTGTCGTTGACAGCCAAAATGCATTCAGCACTTCAGCATGTGAAGGCAGGCGTTTGACGTACCAGTTGACATATCCGAGGCAGTTGGCACTTGCATGGTACCATGTACTCATGTGCTCCGTACTGGCTGGAGCACTGGGTTGAGAGCCTGAGCTGTAGGGCCGCCGGAGTGGAGCCCAGGATATGTTACTTGGACTGGGGGCGGCAGCCAGCACTGGGGGCCTGGGGCACCAGCTCGCGGCTCTTTACTGGACAAGCTGCTCAGGCTGGCAAGGCCACGTGCCTGGTGGACGAATCGAGTAATGCTGCCAATTGACAAGTAGTCGCAGCCAGTGTTGCCAGTATCCTACGACCAGGTAGCTGACGCGAGTACATACGTACCAGGGTAGGAATGTCAAAGGACTACTCCGTATAGAGCACTTCCTTTTGCCTGCATGCGTGGATTGGCCTGTGGAGATGTTTTACGCTGGGACAGGTAATATTAGTTAGTTTGCAATAACCATTTGCGAGGCATGCGTCAGAACATGAGAATAGAAGGGTGCCCAGTACCGCAGAATGTATGATGGTTCCAGCTTAGCTCAATGGTCGTTCAACAACCCCCCCTAGCCGGGGAAAAAAAAAAAAAGAGCGAGTCGTCAACGCAGGTGGCAGAGGTAGACATTAATATATCCAACTAATGCGGTCATATCCACTTCCAGCACACAACAACCAGACCTTATCAGGGTGAATCGCGGATCGGGCAAAAAGCCATGTAGGGTAGCCTCGCTTTTTCTCATGCAAAATCTCCAAGTCACCACGCCAGCCAAAACGGACCGCTCACCGGGGAATGGGGTAAGCTTCCGGTGGGAAGCTTCTCCCGGCAATAGTAGTGCTACTTCGTACTTTGTGAGTGTGAGTGCGCCCAGCTTAAAGGGCAATATTTCGTTGCAGATTGCAACGGCGGACAGGCTGCCAGGTTGAGGCTTCGACCGGGTGGCGTGCCAGGCACAGGCAGGATGCATGAGCATGGCGCCAGATCACCTCGCACTGGCTGAACACAGACGGGCGCCAACAGATCCAATGAAAAAGCAGGGTGCAAGGCGGTATGCCTTGAGTGGATGGGTTAACACTCTTGGTTGGCATCCAACTCCGTAGGTAGAGAGCAGCAATAGGGGGAGGGGGGCGCAATAGGCGGCTAGATACCAGGCAGTACTCCGTACCAGGGCAGTTAACGAACCATTCTTCTGCCTACTGTAGACGGACTTGACTTAAGGCACTGTCCATGAGCATGTACACGATGTGCATATGTGCAGTCGTGGGCGCGACCAGTCAGGGAGGAGATACATATTGTGATGGCCGACCGGAGAGAAAAAACTGGAGAGGAACAGGAACATGGAACAGGGAAGGAGGTCCGAGTCTACAGAACACGGCGATGATGACCTAACTTAGGTATTGTACTGATGAGAATCTCGAGAAGAGACGAATGCAAATAATACGGGAGTGCGTGCACTGAAGGGGAAACCCCCCAGGCCCTGACGGTTGATGGGATGATCTAGAGTTGCATTGCACACAATCCGGACGCAGATATCCCTGCTTCGTCCATAACACGCAGATCAATGAATACCCACAGAGGTCATGCTATGTAAAGTAGGGTGACAGTGAGATTAGTACTAGCATTCACCATGACCCTCTCGGTCTCTGTCTCCAACACCTGACCGCCATGCTGGAAGCACCGAATTCCTCGTCAATTTTAGTACAAAAGTCATCGTGTCTGTCATAAGTGCCCCATCCGTACTGCACCCAAGTGACAGCAGGTGACAGCAGGTGACAGCAAGTACTCCGTACAATACGGAGTAACAGCAGATGAACTACTAGCAGTACGGAGTAGAAACTCGGAGGCTTGGGTCAACAAGGGTCTGGTGCCCAGGTGCCGTGACAACAGTTGACAACTCTCCAGGCCAAGTGCACGGTGCACGCACATTTGACGTCCTTGGTTTTTGCTGTACCCGACGACGTCTAGATAGAGTTCTTTGGCTGGCAAGGACAGCGCGCCACTTTGCAGAGCGTGCAAAGCGCCGTAATAGAACGCGGTATTGGATTGGGTGCTAGCCAGCACGGCAAGCGTGATTACAGAGCAATTGGGGCCTAGATCAACGCCAAATATTTGGTGGCATGGGTCTTGTTCTTAAGTTCCTGGCTTCATCGAGGCCCATTGTTAAGATGAGGGAGCTTGGCGGCTACCCGCCTTCAACTCACTAGAGATGATTAGGGCGTGGGAGAGGCAGGAGAAACAGTCCAGGAACTTACGAGGATAACCGGGCACGGTTCATGACTGCGCAGGATGCACCGTGTGGTCTCGGGGCTACACAAGCCAGCAACACGTGCGAAAAAGTTGCACCCCGCACTGCTACAGATCATACCCTACCTCCAGCCCCCTGTTGGTTCATCTCACGGAGAACATTGAACCCCACTCACACCTCAGCGCCCCTCCGCCGCGCCCCCAGCCGTGTCCTTGCACGCTCCTGGCTCCTGATGTCCCCAATGTGTCTGCACTGTCGTCTGCTTGTCTGCACATTGACCTTGGACCTTGGACCTTGGACCTTGGATCATTGACATTGATTGACTCTGCACCTCGCCCGCCCGCCCGCTCGCTCCATCCATCCAGTATCCAACCATGCCTGGTGCTTGGTGACCCGGTGCCAGTCCCTGCGCGCGCGTGCTGTGTGTGCTCTCGAGGGCTCTGTTTGGCTGAAATTGGCTGGGCCAACCGGTGCCTCTAGCCGTCCCCGTCCACTCGCCCACTTCGCCCGCTCCAGCTTTTGAATAGGCTCTCGCCGCTCTCGCCCAGCCGCCCATCCCAGAGGTTAAAGACTGTCATTTCGCTTGTGCTGCACGGCTCTTCAGCTCCGATACGTCGCCTCCGCGTCTTTCTTTGTTCACCCTCAGCGTTCCTACTACAGATCATCGTGATTTCTATATCTTCGCGTCTCCATCTGCGTCGCCTCAATTCTTGCCGTTTGCGGCCCTTTGGCTAATGTAGGCAGCGCCCTAGCCGTTCTACCCACCCAGCCCAACCTCACAAGGTGCCAGCCCCGACTCCGACGCCTGGGCGACTCCCTAATTTTGCGCCTCGACCATCGTCAACAGCTTCTTTCCTGGACACTCGAGACGTCGGCCAACCAGTTGTGCATTGCCCGCTTCGAGGGCTGACTATTCTGTGTCAGTCTTGCAGCGGTTGCGCAACCCGCCGTTGGTCAATAGGCTCCGGGTTAAGAGGAGGAGGGACCGATGTGAGTTTTCCCAGTAGGCTTCATGTTCTGCGCGCGATTTCAAGCGCAGATTTTCCCAAAGCTTCAAATATACAAACATACATTTCTCATCACTGGAGGGCCGATTGGTGCTATGGGCAATGGCATGGAGTCCCTGAAGCAATGCCGCAGAAAGCAGCTTCGAAGTTCACTAAGAGAATTGAAATCTCTCAACTTGTGGCACCTTGCGACCCCCTTCTAGCAAAACATATGCCCCCCTCTGCTCTTATTTTAAACCATTGGCAAACAAGTATCGCTAACCTACGTATCTTCTATATCACTATAGCACTGTGAAGACGGTTGCTGTGATATATCGAAGGAACCATCATTCAAGCCAGGAGGCTTCTCCGCATTCGACATGGGAAATGACGGCAACCAGTTGTCGCCCGATGAAGGGGGAACGTCCAAGAGTGGTCGTGGCCTGTTGAAGGTGCCTTCGAGATCCTCATCGCAACAACGAAACCAGTCCTCGACCGCTTCCACTGGCCTGAGTGGTGCGACTGTTACCGATCAAAGAAGTAGTATTGATGGCCGGTCTAAAGAGTCACGAGGCAGTGTGCCTGGGAGGCAAAGAAATGGTAGTGCTTCAACAAATCGAACTGGTGGCGGTAGCGAGCGTGGGCACAATCCCGGCAGCTTCCAACCGAGCTCACCGTCTACTAGCGAGCAGAAACGCAGACGAAAGAAGAATGGAGGGCTCTTATCGTTATTGGGTTGTTGTGGCGTTCCTGACACCGCCAATACACTGGAAGAAGACGAAAGCGTGAATGTTCAGAAAGTCGAAAAGCTTTCCCCGCGGCCAGCTACTGCAAAGTCGAGACCGCATGCTGCTCAGGAGCAGCAACCCGGAAAGCCACTGAACGAAAAGGAACCTAGCCAGAGCGTTCCTTCTCTCGATGAAACCGAAAACCAACCCTCAAGCAGCACACAGGAGCCCCAATCAAGCCCCGAGCAAGCAAAGAACGAATCGAAACAACCTGTGCCCCCTGCTGTAACTGTGGATTACCCGCCTCGATCGCCGGATGAGGATGCGGAGTCCCCAGATATGGCCGAGGCAACCAATGCTGGCGACGTGGAAATGCAAGACGAGGGGAAAGAGGAGACTGAAGAGACGCCAGTTTTGGAGGATTCAGAGGACTCGCAACCGCGAACGATACCACCACCTCCCGCAGCTTCCGGACCTGCAGCTGTCTCCACCGTTCCCGTAGCGGAGACTGGAGCCTCTGCTCCTGAGCCACAATCCTGGCTTCTACCTCCAATTGCAGCAGAGCACCAAGGCCGGAAGTGCCTTGTTTTGGACCTAGATGAGACTCTTGTTCACAGTTCATTCAAAGTAAGCACAATTTACCGAGTACAAAATCACCAACCATTACTAATTTTCCTGCCCTCTCAGATTCTTCACCAAGCGGACTTCACAATACCTGTGGAAATTGAAGGCAATTACCATAATGTTTACGTTATCAAGCGACCTGGCGTAGATGAATTCATGAAGAGAGTGGGTGAGCTTTACGAAGTCGTAGTCTTCACGGCGTCTGTCTCTAAGGTACGTTTTAATGGGTTTGCCATCGATGGAATGCCGTTTCGTGAACAGGATAAGACTAACCCCCCCGATAGTACGGCGACCCTCTATTGGATCAGCTGGATATTCACAAGGTGGTCCATCACCGATTGTTCCGAGAGAGCTGCTACAACCATCAAGGCAACTACGTGAAAGACTTGTCACAAATTGGGCGAGACCTTAAAGACACCATCATCATCGACAACTCGCCAACCTCCTATATATTTCACCCACAGCATGCTGTCCCAATCAGCAGTTGGTTCTCCGATGCTCATGACAACGAATTATTAGATCTTATCCCTGTTCTTGAGGACTTGGCTGGCCCCAACGTTGCAGACGTCAGCCTGGTCCTTGATGTCACTCTTTGAGATGCCAATTTTCCTAAAACTGTTCGTTTCTTCTAGCTCACCCTTCATCACCACTGTCATCATCGAGAAAGCACCGCGGTTTGCAATATTGGAATCATAGCGGCTGGCGTTTTGGTATCAGATCATTCCTTCCCTGATGTAGATGTATTACTGTCTAATCATATATAATCGGCCATAGCTGGATAGGAGGATGACCCCCTACACCGGCTAGGCTTTTGTTTTGATAACAATGGGAAACTGCCTGTTTCTTGAGCGGAATATTATCCCTTCGACCAGACTCATCCCATCACAGCCAAAAGGACTCCGAATTGAAAAAGGAAAAACGTTGGAATGGGGAAACAAAAAACACGGAATTGCAATAGCTTTGCTTTTTATGGAGAAACAGCCGGTTATCCTTTCACCCTACGGGTCTGCGGCCCGACAACTTGGTAATTTCTCTCTCTTAAAGGCGCGCATTGGGAGCGGAGCAAAAGATGAAGCGTCATCTCAGATGGTCATGGTGCCTGTTACTATTATTTCTCATCAACCGTCAAAATCTGCAAGCTGCGGGTTAGCGGCTGGCCGCGATGCGTGCCTGGCCCTGTTGGCAGAGTTTCAACTGTTTCTTCCACTTTAATCTACTTCAACTCATTATTCTGTTCCGATTCTACCCCCACTTCTTCCTTGTGTTGTCTTGTACTTCACTGTTTTGAATTATACATATACAAGCGGGCTTGCCAGCAGACTTGTGAAAGGAATTGGGTTTTATTATTATTTTGGTGGCGTTGATGTAGATGCCGTGGGACCAGACAATAGCCATGTAAAGGCTAGTTGGCAAAGCCTCATTTATTTAGTCTCACCAGAATTGTTAACTCTGATGGCGAAATATGTGTCCTTATTGTGAAAATAAATGTTTGAATGTTATGGACTGGCACACGGGTTTGCCCCAAAAATGAATTCGGCCAAGGCGGAAAATCTTTTCGCCGACATGGGGGTCTGCGGTTCCTTCTAGTGAATGTGGCCTCAACTCCCTCCCATTTGGCGCGCCACATTCCGCCCTCGTCGCTGCTACTGCTTCAATTACCATTGCAGCATCCGACCCCTTTCGTCAATTAAAGATTCAGGAATTCTGCAGCGTTTCCTAATCGAATTTCTTGAGAATCTTTCTTAACATTTTGCAAAATGGTATGTATTTGAGTTTTTCCTGTAAATGGCCCATTCCGACGCTGGACTGAGCATGCTGTCCTAAGGACACGATCAGCTCTTCGCTGTACTCACAATGCGTAATGCAATAATACAGGATATCATTGGGCGCTAGTTCGCTGCGATGAAATCAATTCACTGACATGAATTGAATGCAATAGTCTTCTCCTCGTGCTTCCTCTCCGGCCAACTCCCCGGCTGCCGCCACCGGTGCCAACATTGGCCGACCTTCGTCCCCTACTCCTCCCGGTGGTCCTCGAACTGCCATTCGGCGTCGTGCTGCTGCCGACCAAAAGGAGAAGATTGCCAATGCTCGACCTACAAGCACGAGATCGGCGGGCGCAGGTGGCTCCAGTAGTACCATGCTGAGTATGCCGACCTAACCTTTGCCCGTGACCACACATCTGCCCAGGTTGAGGCCCTCGGCTGTAACAGTTGGTGGTTGAAAATGGTGGAAGAGCATGGCTAACCGAATTTTTGCAGGATTATACACTGACGAGTCTCCTGGCTTGAAGGTCGACCCTGTAATTGTCCTTGTCCTATCTCTTGTGTTCATTTTCAGCGTTGTGGCTTTGCATGGTATGTACTAAGTCCTCTCCTTTACCTTGGAGAAACTGCTTGCTGTCCAAGGCGAGGCCCTAACGAAATTTACCAGTGATTGCCAAAATCACCCGACGATTCTCGAGCTAAATAGGTTACGAAACGTGGATGCAGTCATATATTGTCGACCAGGGGCGGATAATGGGTGATTCTAGAGCTGATTTAGGGTCATCAAGGTGGCGTCATGTTTCCAGACGGTATCATGACTTCTGCCATGAGAAACGGGACCAGAGGACTTGGCACGTTAATTTTTTTTCCAAGATTGCTCCTAGCCATAAGCGGAGTTTCCTAAACCATGCGGCGTCTTGTATCATACCAAAAGCTTTCATTTGTCGATTATTAGAAATGTGCCAGCTTTGTCGCTTCCAAGATGTTTCTCGCGTGGTATGCAATGTCTGACCCGAAAACATATGCTGAGACTTGTTAAACGGAGGCAATGCGGCTCGTGGGATAGCTTTGGTGGTTTGCTCGGTTGAAAATCCAATGCGAATACAAGCCGGGGTGGTTTACTTTTTTAATGAAGACAGTCTGGCCTTGGTGTTCCTTCATAAATAATGGAGAGAGAAATCTTCATTATCGGTCAATGAAAGAAGGAACAGTTTACCAGACCTTTGTGTATCCCTTTGTGTAGTAACTTGGTATCAATTGACAGTATCCTTCGTCTTGGTGTGGCTAGACTAACCTACCTGTTGATAGGCATACGTCAACGTCCCTGGGTAGTGGGGCACATGAGCCGTGTCGACATTCTCCGTAAAGTCTCGTGCTGGTTCGGTTGGCGTCATGTACCTCTCTGATACTGCTTTACGACCAGACTCTTGAGACTCGTTTCCATCGATTCACCCCTCGCATGCCTCGTCGCAACGCTGTCAAGCCCCAGTGCAGCACAGGCTGCCTGATGAGCTTTCCGTTGCACGAGCAATCCACCCTCAAATGTTTGCCAGCGCTAGAGCCCCGTCGGAACCACTTACTCGTAGAGTGATAGCTAGTGCCTGCGTTCCAAACTTGACTTCTTGAGCTGCAACTCGACACCGGCTGCAGGGGCGATTGGCAGCCTTGGACCGACATGGAGATTCTCGACGAGAAGCAGAGGCTGGCCATGCAGAATGGTCAGCCACAGGAGATGCAACCGCACGTTCCAATGCAGGCGGTTGTGGACGGCGAGGACGGCGCTGCGGCTCTAATTACCGACGGCTTCTTGGTCCCAAACCTCGACGGGCCCAACGATGCAAACCCCCCCGCATACGGCGAACAGCATGACCATGTACGATTTTCACAACCAGGCTTCGATGCTGGTGCCGAAGTCACAGGTATGTCCGTTGCCCGTACCTTGGCAGTTGATGCACTCGGGCTACGTGATTCTTCGCGGGCGACATGGCGGGGTATCCAACGGCTGCAATGGAGCAACCCATAAGACGCTGGCGAACAAAGGCTAACCACACACCGTCCATATAGACGATGGTAGAATTAATATCAATCTTCACACCAAGAACCGAAGGCTTGCTAATCTGCTCGCCCCGACAATCGACAGCCAAATCTCAGTAGAGCCTCAAGCCGAACCTGCTCTACCCCCAGCATATATCCCGCCTGGTCTAAGTGCTGAGCCAGGTCAGCCGCCTCCACCCAGCCTCAACGTCGTTATCCAAATCGTTGGTTCTCGAGGTGATGTCCAGCCTTTTGTGGCCCTGGGCAAGGTCCTGAAGGAATCATACGGACACAGAGTTCGGATAGCGACTCATGCAACGTTTAAATCCTTTGTTGAGGACAATGACTTGGAATTTTTCAATATCGGAGGCGATCCTGCCGAACTCATGGCCTTCATGGTAAAACATCCTGGATTGATGCCTGGAATCGATGCTCTGAAGAGCGGAGAAGTCAGCAAACGACGTCGGGGCATACAAGAAATGCTTCTTGGATGTTGGCGATCCTGTATCGAGGCAGGCGATGGTTTAGGACCTCCGCCAAAACCACATAGGATCAATGAGCCGTTGGACTTGGCTGCTGGAATGCCGGGAGACGAAAATCATCAACCATTTGTGGCAAATGCCATAATTGCAAACCCCCCAAGTTTTGCTCACATTCATGTTGCTGAGAAGCTTGGCATCCCTGTTCATATGATGTTCACGTAAGTTCCGCGGTGTCTTGACATTCAACATCAAGCAGTTAAGTACTTTACTTACTTAGTGATAGCATGCCATGGTCACCTACGAGGGCATTCCCCCACCCTCTGGCCAATATCCAATCTACCAACGCTGACGATGTCATGACTAACTACATGACGTATACATTGGTAGAGATGTTGACATGGCAAGGTCTCGGTGATGTTATTAACCGTTTCCGACAAAAAGCACTCGATTTGCCATCTCTGTCGTTTATCTGGGCGCCTGGCCTGCTAAATCGCCTTAAGGTTCCCTACACCTATTGCTGGTAGGCTGAATACTTTGACCCTTCTGAGGAGCTATGTCTGAAGTTTTATTGAACAGGTCACCAGCTCTGATACCGAAACCGAATGATTGGGGGAGGCATATCGATATTTCCGGCTTTTACTTTCTTAATCTAGCGTCGTCTTATACACCGGATCCAGAGCTTGCCGCATTCCTTGAAGCTGGCCCGCCCCCAGTTTATATTGGATTTGGATCCATAGTCGTGGATGACCCCAATGCGATGACTCGAATGATATTTGACGCAATTCATCTCGCCGGTGTTCGTGCACTAGTATCGAAGGGCTGGGGTGGTTTGGGCGCAGATGATGTTGCTCTCCCTGAAGGTGTGTTCATGCTGGGCAATGTGCCGCATGATTGGCTTTTCGAGCATGTCTCGGCTGTTGTACACCACGGTGGAGCTGGAACGACTGCGGCTGGTATAAAGGCTGGAAAACCTACGATTGTTGTACCCTTTTTTGGAGATCAGCCGTTTTGGGGAGCCATGATTGCAAGGGCGAAGGCTGGGCCGGAGCCAATTCGTTGTAAAGATCTGACTTCAGAAAACTTGGCTGAAGCCATCAAGTTCTGTCTCGAGACCGATACCCAAGAGAGAGCGAAAGAGCTGGGACACAAAATCCGAGAGGAAGCTGGAACAGATGTTGGTGCAAAGAGCTTCCATAAGCACCTCGATATCGACTCTCTGCGATGCTCGGTAGCACCTTGTCGACCTGCCGCTTGGCGAGTCAGAAGAACCAAGATACGCTTGTCGCCGCTGGCAGCGTCGGTGCTGATAGATGCAGGTCTGATAGAGTACAAAGATTTAAAGTTGTAAGTAATTCTTGCGTCCTGGAATCCGCACGTAGAGAAACAGCTGACTCGAATTCACCACAGATACCGACCTGTCGAGTACAATACAGAAGATCAGCCACCTGACCCCGTTTCGGCTGGCGCTGCTTCGCTCATCGGCGACTTGAGTGGAATTGGCATGGCTATCGCAGATGTTCCTCGGGAATTATTCAAATCTCGACGCCCCAAGGATGGTCAAGGCTCAGAGACATCAACCATCTTAGGCTCGTCTAGCAAACTCACACTAGCTACAACGGACGCGATATCTCAGAACAAGTCTAATACTGACTTGTCTAGTATTGCCTCTCGGGAAAGAGAAGGCCGAGAAGCGTCAAGAGTTCCAACTGCTGATTCAAATCGATCGCTTACCGAACTATCTTCCGCATCACAATCTCTCGTGGAATCGAGGTCTGTAGCTAGATCTGGAGGAGATACAGAAAGCGGAAGCTCTAGAACACCTTCCAGGACCAGACTTCGGACCCGAGCATCCAGTGATCAGCTAAGACAAAAATTCTCCCGTAGAGACCCGTCGCCCCTGGGGATAAGTTTGGATGCCACCGTTGGAGCTGGACGAAGTGTAGGCCGTGCTGTGTCTACAGGTGTGAAGAGCCCGATGAACTTCTGTTTGGGGTTGGCTAAGGGATTCAGGAATATTCCGAGACTCTACAATGATGATACTGTCCGACCCATAGAGAAAGTCACCGACCTCAACAGTGGTATCAAGATTGCTGGCAAAGAGCTTGGCTATGGCTTCTTCGATGGCATTGCAGGTTTGGTTACGCAACCAATTCGAGGAGCTGAGAAGGAAGGACCCGGCGGATTCGTCAAGGGCATCGGAAAGGGCATTGGAGGCCTCATTGCCAAGCCTGCTGCCGGTAAGTTTGTCACGATCCGATACTTTGACTTAGCTGACACCGAGTTTTACTGACATGGCAAAGGCATATGGGGTGTTCCAGCCTATATGATGCAAGGCGTCCACGCGGAGTTCAACAAAATGTTCACGAAGAGCGTCCAAAACTACATCATTACTTCCAGGGTTGTTCAGGGGACGCAAGATCTGACTAGAGCAAGCGAGGAGGAAAAGTCTGATATTATTATTCGGTGGAACAATTCGAAATGGGACCTGAAGAACTATTATATGTTGAAGCGAAAGGAAAAAGCAGCCGAGAAGGCGCCAGCAGGATCAGAACAGTCCACGCAATCAGACTCACCATTTTCTCGACCTAAGACAAGCTGGCTCCACACTCGCGGTATGTCAGCAGAAGAAAGAAAGAGGCTGCAGACGCAAAAGAGAGGCTTCGTCGACGCACCTGTGCCTCTATCAAGCAGCTCTTCTAGTGCCCAGCCAAGCACATCAGACGATGCTGAGTTCGAACAAGCAATTCAAGCCTCTGTTCGGGAAACGTCTAGAGGCAATGCCGAAGAAGATGCGATGATCGAGGCAGCTATTCGGGAAAGCATCAAAGCTATGCGCGCAAGAGGGGCACTGCTGGAGACGTTACCGGAGGCTTCTGAAGACATTCCAGAAAAGGACGTCAGCATATTCGAAGACGAGGAGTACCAGATTACCGACGAGGAGTATCAGTCGCTTGTAGAACAGGCCATTCAGCAAAGTCTGGCAAGCCATATAGAGGATTTGTTCCACCCTCAAGAAACTGGCATATCAGAACTGGACGCATTTACTACAGAGATACACAGTGCCCAGGGCGCTGGCGCTGCACAAGCAGACGAACATGATGCTGATCTTCAGCGAGCCATAGAAGAATCAAAGAATGTGTCGACTCTTCCATCATTTGATGACGAGGAAGAGCTTCAGCGAGCTATTGAAGCATCGAAACAGGATATGGCTCGCGAGCAAAACCAACGAACTGAGGAGGACATTGTCTTGGAATATGTCAAGAAGCAAAGCTTGGCCGAGGCAGAATTCCATAGTAAGCTGAACAAAGGGAAGGGAAAAGCGGCAGCAGCAGAAATCGATAGCGAAGACGAGGAACTAAAGCGAGCTTTGGAAGAGAGTTTGAAATTGCACAGAGGCGATTGCGCCGGCCCTTCAGGGTCAGGGTCAGGATCAAGGTCAGGATCCGGAGCTTGCGATGAAGCAGCAGAAGGAAAGTGATCGGGTTTGGGTCTTTCAAATTCTAGACGGATCAATCAGGATACCCAGCAACGTATATTAATGAAGCATATAAGCGTTATTTTTGCGGATGAAGCCGCTGGTTAATTTACAGACGCGGAGCTGATACCATATCCGAGCGTGATGCTATTGATCAAGAGCAACACGAGAAAAATTTGACAGGTCGAAAGATTGCGATAAATAGATGTTATCTTGGAACCCTGGCCTGTCGTTTCCAAAAATTAAGTGGCCAAGACTATCGACCACGCAACCCGCCGAGCAGATCATGTAACTCCTGCTCATCTGACTTCACCTCGACATACTGCGCATGTAGCATCTCACACATGGCGGTTGTAGACCACACGCGTGCAAGACAGTTTGCGATGAGTAGAACAACTTTACCTGGTGTAGGCAGCATGTTGTATGCCGCGGCAACGAGGAAAGACCGAACCACAAAACGGAGGACCCAAAGGCGAGCTATGGACCATGAATTGTTGGCTTTCCGAGTGGCCTTTAGCATCATGTATACAGAATTTCAAAGTTTGCTTCAAAAGACGCAAACAGGAGGCACCACTTACTTCAATCTCCTCGAGGGTCTTTTGCCGGGAGCTGGAGAAGCGTCAGCGAATGGCAGAGCTGGTGCAGCGACTAGCAGACAGGTACATGCGATTTAGGCTTAAACTTCCCCAGTCATACGTTGATGAGGCTCTGGCGAGATGGCAGGGACAGTTGCCGCATACCAGCCGGCCCCGAAGATAGGCTTGGTCTTCGACAGAAAACCTGGGCGGCTGACTGGAGGAGGGAGTCGGCCGGAACGAAGTGGTATTGCTTTCGGCAGGAGGACGGCGCCGTCGCGCCTGGAATTCGTGGCTGTCGTGGCGACATGCCGTCGACCCGTACGGCCATGAGGCAGAAGGCGAGCGCACATCGGCAGCCAGACCTGACCATGGCTCCGCATGGCGTGCACCAGGCGTAGGTTGCTGCGATGGGGAGACGACGGGTGGCTGAAGACTGGCGTTGACTTCACACACTTGTGCGTAGACAAGGTAATCCACTCGGCCTGCTGCCACGAAAGCTCGCGTGTGGCACGCCCTCCGGTCAGTCTGATAGAAAAGAAGTGGCACATGTAGAGAAGATAAAAAGGCAACGGAGAAAATCCCTCTAAAAGACGAAAAGGGGTGTGGAAAACAGGAAATGAATATCATACACGACAACAAACCTCCAAGACTCACCTCGGACCTCTCGTGATAAGTCATTCCATTCGGTATTCCTCTCACGAAGGCGGTAACCGTTCCTGACATCTCGACTGTAACGCTCGTCTGATTCACTCTCAGGACCATGTCGGCGCCTGGGTTCACCTTCATCCTCGGTCTCGAATGCATCCCCATGCTGCTGTGATGATATCTGTTGAAGCGATGAAGAAGACATCGCTCTGATGCCCGAGATGATCCAGCAGTCAACGACAAGAAGATGTGTCATAGCTTGCCGCGTCATTACTAGAGAACTATCGTGGCAGCTTCTACAGCTTGGCTTAATGAGCCATTCCAACGACCTAGCCAGTGTTCCTCGGACATGCTGACTATACACTGTGGAAATTCCCGACAATAGACACCACATGACATTTGATACTTCAAGCACACGCAGCCCTGCTTACGTATCCACGTTCATATCCTAGCAGGGCCAGCAGTATGGGATCAAGTCTAAGCCTTTTCAGCAAGGACTTCTCTCGGGAATGGGTTCTTGGGATCGAAAGACAGGATTTGGGGTATTGACCATAGGTGGAGTGGAGTTTGAGGAGCGATAATGGCCACGGGGGGAAACCATGGGAACACGATAATATACTGACCAGAGCTGTCCAAAGGGGGAAGAAAGTGTACAAACGGAAATAAGAAGAAGGGTCAAGGCTGTCAACAGACGAATACCGGCGGGCAACGACGTCGTCTCTGGTACAATAGAAAAATCTGCTTCTTTAGCTCTAGGAGTTTCCCTGATCCCGGATACTTCTCCTGATTCAATCAACCCCATTGAGATGTACACGAAAAACCAAGTCCCTGTGGTCACCACATAACGCCAAGCTACCCGCCACACAATTACATATATGTCCGTTCTCTTAACTACTCCAAATCTGGGACTCCGAAAAAGAATGCTATAACCAACAATGGAAAGATATATACAATCATGACGACACCACTACCTGGCTCCATGACATGCAATGCAGTTTGTGCATATCGCTTTAAGACAGGGGGTCAAAGGATCACAAGGGTTTCAAAGCTTCTTCATTTGTCAGCCATAACGCTGCTGTCCACCCTGAGGTGGAGGAGGACCGTATTGCCCGCCACCTTGATTAGCACCTCCGCTGCCACGATTAGCCATGGCCATGACGTCCGGACGATTCTCCAAGGGCTGTTGAAAGTGGCAAATGTTGCATGTAACATCCTTGTATCCTGAGATAGTGAAAGGAATGATAGGCTGCAGTGACTGAATTAGTATACGTAGCATCTCGAGTGGACTGGGGTCGAATGGGAATAGACTGGAACAGTATGGACACGCGATAAACGAGAACGAAATCTCGCGTCGCGGATAAAGGCGAGATGTGCCGACCTGGTAACAACCAAATCATGGAATGTAGGTATGGGTGAGATGGATTGAATGCAGCTACCAAGGATAGGGCACTTACAACGAAGCAGAAGGTAAAGAATGGGCGGCTCTTGACAACGTGGGCTGCCATGTTTCCGCAATGGTGGCATTGACACACCATTCCCTCATATCCAGGAATCTCACTGCGGAAGGTGTGCTCACCGCATATGAAGAAGAAGAACATGGCGAGTGGACTGCTGACGTGGTCGGGGGAGCTTGCGAAGGGGACAAGATTTGTTAGAACAGGTTGATATGAGATTCGAATAAGTGTTGATCGGCAACAGCTCCTGTAGTCCTGGACGTGATGAAAGTATTCGTTTCAGACACGGCTTACTGCAACGCAACGCTCGTGAAAACGTCTTTCGAAGAATTGTGCGCCCAGCTACTCCGTACTCGTTGTCAAAATGAGGTTCGCGGCGGAGAACACTTGGCGGAAGTGCTGTAGTCTTGTCACACGATTTGAACAGGCCAATTGGGGCTTAGCGAAGACGGAAAACAGCGAGAGGCCACGAGCAAGCTCGACCCAGAAGAGGGAAACAGGGTCAACTCCACTTGAGCAAGAGAAATGAGTTGGTGAGTCAGTCGACAAAAAAGGCTCGGTTGGACGCTCGGGTCCAAAGCGATTGGGGTGCTCGCTTTGCGCGAGAAAAAAAAAAAAGAAAGAAAGAAACGGAGTATGAAGTAGTACGATGCACAATGCACGCCCGATTGTGGAACGAGGCCGAAAGGGGGAAGCGAGACGGTACCGAGACAGGATCGAGAGCACAGTAACAGATCGGTGTGTCTAGCATGCATAAGCTATGAGGGTTGAAGAAGGAGAATGGAGACTTGACAAGCGACGGGGCGTGGAGGAATAATAGAGTGATGACGCGTGACGCCACCCGTTGATGGTTGATGGATAATGGATGATGTAGGTTGTAAAGGTCTAAAGGTCCATGTACCAGGCGGTGCCCACAAGCAAGCTAACAGGGCCACCTCAGCCCAAAAGGGCAGCAGCTAGCACCACCACCGTCCTGCTGTCTGGGCTGGAGAAGCTGTGGCAGAATAGGTTTGTGGGGATGCTTGTTCCAGCACCCGCAAGCACAGACCCCACCTTCCGTGGGAAACGACTGCCCTCCGTCTGTTCTGCGAGGGAGGTGCATGCCGGAGCTGCGGCCAGCACTTGCCCCACTCCCATTTCTCTGCTGCTCGGTAGCTAACGCCTCTCGTGGCTCACGAAGAAAGAGGGAAAAAAAAAAGTTGGGGTTGTCAATTGACGACAACCACAACCCAAACGGATTCAACCACCGCTGGCGGCAGATTGCATCACACTCTAATCTGATTCTCGCGCTGCGGCTCGACTTGTCCGCCGCTAGGCTAATCTATCCAAGCTCGTTCACGAGTCTCACCCATCCCGCACTTCGACACAGGATGATCTACGACCTCAACATTGCGTGGTCCCCTTCCACAACTTCTGAACGTCTCCTCCAAACTCTCTCTCTCGCCTACTACCTTGGGTACTCCACAGTAGCCCTTAATCACACGCTGGAGCTTCCAGTCCCTGCGAACCCCAAATCGCCCTTCCCATCAGAGCTCGAGTCCTCGTCTTCGCGAACACTTCCTACGTTGCTGCACCGTGCCACTCTTCCCCTCGACGACCCAGCCGCCTCTAATTACCGCCTACAATCGCTCGCAAACGCGTATGATATTCTCGCAGTTCGGCCGTTGACCGAGAAGGCGTTTCAAAATGCTTGTCTGACTCTTGACATTCCCATCATCTCTCTCGATCTCACCGCACACTTTCCCTTTCACTTTCGCCCCAAACCATGCATGGCTGCCGTAAGCCGTGGGGTTCGTTTCGAAATATGTTACGCCCAAGTTCTTGCCGCTGACAACCGCGGCCGCGCAAACTTCATCTCTAACGCAACCAGCATCATTCGGGCCACCCGTGGACGTGGCATTATGATTAGCAGCGAGGCCAAGACAGCACTTAGTCTACGTGGCCCGGCAGATGTGGTCAATCTCTTGAACGTGTGGGGCCTGGCGAAGGAGAAGGGTCTCGAAGGCTTGAGATCTATCCCCCGAAGCATCGTTGTCAACGAAGGAATCAAGCGGAATGGCTTCCGTGGCGTCATCAACGTGATTCAAGCGGCATCGAGAGATAGTAACGATACGAATAAGACGTCTTCGGAAGACAATGAACCGAGTGCAGGAACGGACACTGGGCGAAGTGGCAATAAAGCAAAGAACCAAAAACGCAAGAAAGGGGAAGAAGATGGACAGTTTATCAGCAAGAGACAGGCAAAGAAGCTGAAATTGTCCGCTCGCTCAGCTGAACCTGACAAAACGCCGGCTTCATGATATGCAATTAGCACAACGCCAGAAAGCTCGAGATTAAAGCCAACGAATTTCATGATGAGCATACACAGAATGGCAAAAGAGACACCATAGCCTTTTCACCTTTACCTGGAACTCGATTTTTACTTCTGGTAGTGACGTTCCAAGTCATCTAATAGAGCCTCCGATCAAGTTGATTCACAGCTATGTATCGCCTATTTACACTCTACACGCTTTAGTTGGCGTTGCAGTCCCTAGAAGGCCGCAGTAGTGGGAGCTGGAGCGTTCCCTGCTTGCTTCGGTAGGTTCCCAAGGTCGATTATGCTGTTTAGAGTGAGTCCGGATAGGTTGACCGCTGGTTGTGCCGGGGCAACTACTCCAGGAAGGGATGTTGCTACTGGAGCTACGGCAGAATCTAATGGCGCTGTAGGAGGCGGTGCCTGCCCTCCAATTTCGGGGGAACCAGAGGACAGACTCGTAGGGGCTTTGGGAACCGACGATGAAGTTGACGACGGCGAGGAACCGCTTCCCATTTGCGCATCAGGCTGTGGTGCTGCTGGTTGGGGGGATTTGGGCGGAGCAACCGAAGCTGGCACGGGAGGCAAAGATGAACTCGATTCTGGTTTTGGCGGTGCCGGTGATGGAGGCATCAGAGGATTCAAACTGTAAGTTGTTGTCGGAAGGGCAGTTTTGTCAATAGGAACTGTCGTCACACCAACTCCATTTCCATCAGCATTGGGCGTGGGGTTTTCTCCAGCGTTTGGCTTCCGAGAAGAGTTTTGAGGATTCTGAGGTTGGATCGGTTGTTTTTGGGACATTGCCTTTGCTCAGTATTAGGTACTTCATGTATCAAGTACATTGGGCTACAAAATGGACTCATTCCTGGTCGGGGCATTGACTTACACCTCTAGAAACAGTGACAGTCGTCGTGACTGTTCTGGGCGACTCCTTCTCCGCTTTGACCGGCCCCTTGGAGACTGTAGGCCGGACGGTCACGGTCACAAAGGTGACTTGTAGCCTGTAAAATCATGTTAGTGCTGTTGAAGATAACGACGTGGCTTGTTAAGCGAAAGGAAACGGACCCTTCTAACTTGGGGATGGGCCGCTGGCTGTTTGATTGCGTGCGATTACGGTTTTGTTGATCCATGCCAGGTTGCTGACCATTTGGTCGTTGTGCCTTTTGTTGGCCATTAGTACTATGTTGCTGACCATCTTGCCGCCCATTCGAACTTGCGTCAACAGCCTTACGACGGCCGGTCGGCGAAGCAGGGCGCAGCATGTGGGCATTGGCGGTGTTAACAACACCATCAGGTCCAACAATGGTCCAGAACCCGCGAGGTGTGCCGTCCTTGGCTTGATTGACATCGTACTGACTATCGCTCTCCCCCGACTTGAGCCAAACCCTTGATCCAAGGCTGTTGAGGGGACCAGATCTCTTTACCATGTCTTGGTTTGACCCATGTTGACCATTTGGCATGGCCTTACCTTCACGTCAGCTTCATTTCAAATAATCAATCATGTTGAATACACGAGAGCCAAAGGCGCAATTACCTGAGCGATGGCCGTGGCAGCGAGAAGGAGCCGGGCAAAGGCTTTCATCCTAGGCAGTAGGAAATCCTGTTCCTAACGGGACACGCACGCCACTGCCTAGACAGCGTGCGGATATTAACACTCCAGAGAAAAGAGAAGAGACAGAGAAGGAGAAGGAGAAGAAAGAGGTTTAAGTGTAATTATCAGGCAGGCCGGCTGCTCAAAATGTAAAAACAGGACGACTGCCAAGATCAAGGTCTACATCCAAGAGTCCGGAACAAAATCATGGAACCCAAGGATGGCATATCAGCCAGCTGATGAGAGGGCGAGAAGGCCTATATGACAGTTTGCAAAACGAGGGAGAGCAGAAACGAAGCAAAACTGAAAGAGAAGACGAGAGGAAATGCGGCTTGACCCAAACCGGGACCCTTCACGTTTTGCAACTCAGTGTAAGAATGTTTGGAGCGAGAAACAGGCGGGAAACCCAGGCATTTGCCTGTAATACGGAGTTGCAACAACGAACGAAGAGTAACTAAGAGGTCAAAGAGCGGCACATGATACTGAACAGAGAAGGAAAGGAAGACGAAAATGGGAAAATGAAGAGGGCAGTGTACGAGGTTGAAGGGAAAGATCAGATGGTGTGGGTGGGAAAACACAGCACAAGACAATACATGCATTAGTTCAGCGGGAGATTTGCTTAGCATCTGAACAAATATTTTCTAAGAAACGTTGACACTTGCTACGAGTAGTGAACCCTGTTGCGCTCGTATGAGCAGAGATCTCGGCAGCTCGGGAAAGAGAGGCGCATGTTGTCGAGTGTCATGTTTTGCCTCCAGTTGGACCGGGTAGATGGATTTCTCACCATCTTGGGGTCATTGACAGCGGAATCGATGGTGATGATACCTCCTATCCCCCGTACATCCTGGTTCATAGCTTGTTTTGAATAGGTTGGATTCGTGAGGGATGCGGCTGCGGTGAGGACCAAAGTGGGTGCATGCTGTTGCACGAGGAGTTGATGGCGTCGAGACTGAGACGTTTGGAGACGTCTGGCCCAGACAACTTGTGTTTGGGGGCATGGCCTCGCGTCACATGACTAACGGAGATTTGAAAATATGTAAATGGAGCCTGCTTGGTGTTTTGGTGGACGGAGCAGAAGACTTAGTCGGTGCTACGCGCTGGTGCGTTTGATGCTGATGAGTACGTAAGTAATACTCCCATCACTTTTATTTGGGAGTGGGTTTCGACGTCAAAAGTCGAACGGTGCAATCGAACGGCCGCCGCACCTTTGGTTTCACAGATCGCTGCCAAGTCCGTCGGCACCCAGGTAGGTCGGGAGGACACATGCTCCGTTTCGAGAGTGGCATTACACCTGGCATTGTGAATTGGTTGGTCCTTTGGTGCTTACGTAGAATATCCGCAGAGATATTGATGAAATGGCGCTGGATGAGACCGAGATCTGCAGAATGTCGATTTGACTCGAGCATCGGGCAGTGTCGGACCAGTGCTGGCAGAGGCAGGCGGCGGGTACCTCGCACCTTCCTGCAGAGACCTGGCGGTAAAAAGTCAGTAAATCCCCACTTGTCTCTCTGCGACAACCACGATCGCTTTTGCAATCACAGTCAATGATGACATCCTCCTTTGGGTGTTGGTGTGTGTGCGTCATGGCGTGCAAAAGACACCTCCCTCACATAAGGATGTCCGTTTTATTATGACGCACATCACATAGCGCCACGAGGATGCAAACATGAGGCAGTTATAATATCTGCGTTCCTTCGTACAAAAACCATCCTTCACCTTATTCCACTCGTGCCGCCAGACTTGCAATCGCCAACAGCTTCGCCCGAGGTGTTCTTCGCCATGGCTGTCGCCCATGTTCTTGACAACTATTACCTAGGAATAACGGCCATTGTCACCGTTGCCTACCAGCTCTTCTTCTTCGCCATCGCATATTCCTTCAAATTCGACAAACTCACTGGTAAGTTGCGGCCCCTTTCGCTGCAGTCACAAATTACAAACTACATCGTCTAAACTCCAAAAGACCTCGCTGGCGGCACCAACTTCGCCATCCTGGCGATCCTCACACTCTCCCTCTCGGGCCACCACCATGCACGCCAAGTTGTAGCATCTCTGTTTCTCATCCTCTGGGCCATTCGTCTCTCGTCCTTCCTCTTCTTCCGCATCCTGCGCACCGGCTCAGATGACCGATTCGACGACAAGCGCGACAAGTTCTTCCCCTTCCTTGGCTTCTGGGTCTTTCAAATGATTTGGGTGTGGACCGTGTCACTCCCCGTAACCATACTGAACTCGCCCAATGTGACGCAGTACCCACAGCATTCCTTTGGCACTGGGAGAGATATTGCCGGCATTGTTCTATTTACGATGGGTTTCTTTATGGAGAGCGTGAGTGACGTGCAAAAGTACAATTTCCGGAAATCACACGACGGGTACGCGGTTTGTGATGTCGGCTTGTTTAAAGTGTCGAGACATCCGAATTACTTTGGCGAGATAATCATTCAGTTCTGTAAGTTTACTTTCAATAGTTTTGGACGGACAATGTTACAGCTTGAATCGATGAAAGTGTTGAGCATGGGATGCTAACGGCCACCATAGCCATTTATATGATTGCTGTTTCATCAGCAGCGGATGGGTACGTCTCAGGCCAGGCCTACAAAGCGCTGTACGCGACAATCCTGGGGCCAATTCTTCTCACAGTACTGCTCATGTTTGTCTCTGGACTGCCCCTTTCAGAGCGGCCAAAGGCCAAAGCACGCTATGAAAAGGGCAACAATTGGGAAGGATACAAGCGGTGGCTAGACCGGACGAGTATCCTGATTCCGTTCCCTCCACAGTTGTATGAGAAGATGCCTTTGTTTTTGAAACGAACCATTTTCCTGGAGTTTCCCATGTACGTGTTTTATCCGCCGTCAGCAGATGCTGGTGTTGTTGAATGAAGTGAAAGATGAGTAGATGATGGATTGTAAGATACCATGTACACATATCGGGATTCTCGGCTATGTGCTCTAGACGCTGTTGTTGCGTTGCACATTTGCAATACAGTGTAGAGATCAATTAATTAATTCAAAATACTATATCAAACGATGTTCCTTCCCATAACTTGGTATATAGAGATGAGATATATGTCCCTGTATGTCCGTCCTCTTGTTCCCCCGCGGTGTGACCCCGAACACCCCTATTGAGCAAACAGCACAACAGCATTTCTAGAAATAGACAAGATACTTCTGTGTTGAACCACGCTCCCAGCCCAAAGCTTACGATACCCAAGTTTTTGGGATACAACTACCGAACTGTAATGTGGATGTTATGTCATGCCGCAGCATGAAACGAAAAGGGGTGAACCACTCCGTTCCACCGATTTCTTTCGGATAGATACCTATCGTTTTCGCGTATAGATGGCAAGTTGCGCCACAATGAAAGGAAATAGCATGTGAAAATAGACGCATCATTTTGCCTCATTCCGTGGTTTTTTTTCTTCTATCTCCAAGAACATGCCTTAGCTGGTCAATTCTGATCCGGGTTGGTCGAGTGGTTGATCGAGAAACTCTTGGGTAGGACCGTAATCAGTTGAGGAAGAAGCCTCAGAGTGAGTCTCGGACCCTTCGGGGATAGGGACCATAGCACTCTTCGTCCAAAGATGAATGGCCTTGCCCCAGTCTAGGCCCTCGAGACACCCCCCTTTTACTGATACAACATTTTTTGTCTGCTTGGGTGTTGGTATTAGTTGCAGGCATCACGGGGTGGAGAGTTTGTGATTGAGTGCCTACTGGTGTTGCGTGAAGAAGTCGAGTCCCGCACTTTCGGCAGAAGTAGCTATTAAGCCTGTTAGTCTATCTAGCAGGTACACGGTTGTTATGAATTTACCAAGTTGAATCATACCAATATAATGTTTGTCCCGAGGCCGTGGGTCGACTGTGTCACTCATTAGTAAGGATTACGGCGAGTCATCCAGAATCCAGAATCAAGAGCGCGCTGAATGACCAATAGGTGCACTGCGTACTTGCAGCACAAACGCGTCTTGGAACAGCAGATTGGAGCTAAAACATGGTAAGGACCTACGCATAGCAGCTAAGTAATTCGGCCTCGGGAATCCTGAAGCGCGGAAATATAGCAGAAGCACCAAATGCTGAGCTTGTCTGGCGCTTGCACTCGGCACAGTGACAGATGTACAGCGCCAGCGGCTCAGGCAACGGCGTCTTGAAGCACACGGCTCCGCATTGGCACCGGGCGTCCATTTTGTCCACGTTGATTGTATGTAGTCGTTACTAGTCAAAATATCTATGAGAATAGGGTATTATAACATTAGCTCTTGCGATTTTTTTCGTGGTAGGCGTTGCATGTGCAAGCACGGTGGTGTTGTCGACCGTGAACAGTTTACAGTGCGGGTGTAAGATGGCGGGGCCTCCTCGGCGGAGATGACTGTAAAGTAAACCAAATCACAGGTTCGAGGAGAATTATCAAGTTGAGCAGGCGCAATACCAATTGAATATTGGGGAAATGATGGCAATAACGATGAATAAATGGAAGTGTTTAGAAAGTAAGGAAGACGACTGGGGAGAATAGAAAAAGAATAATGTTCAGCGAGACCGGAGACTCTTGAAAAGGCAAGAGCAGATTACAAGGGTCGCCGGAGTTCACTTGCTTTGTGTCATGGCCGAGGTGCGGCTAGCTGCAGAGTCACGCCTCAGTTCTAAGGTCTGGTGGCACCGTGGCATAACGCTGCAGGTCGTCCAGTTCCACCTTGGAAATGAGGCTTGCGCCAACTCAGCTAAAACACACTGATACAATGAACCGGACTAAACGACATACTGTCCCGTAGCTCTGGTATTATTAATAACGCTGTCCCGGTGTATCGCTCTACCGCTACTTCGCATATGGCGAGCGGGTCATCTGGGCCCGTCTTTGAAAGTTCCTATCTACGGCGTCTTGAGTGTCCGGGAACAGCAACCAGAAGTAAGCAATATGAACAATGCAGATATAATTCCGGTCCAGCTTGTGTGGCATATTTGCCGGAATTCCCGTTCAAAGGGGAAAAAAATACTAATCAGAAAATGAAACAAAATAAAATTCACTGGTCGTGTTTGAAGCACGCGAGAGTTACGTCTTGACTCGCTGACATAAAATCACAAGTCATGGTGTAGCCTTTGATCGCAAGTACGTAAGTCTAATAAACTTTAAACCATATTTGTTATTGTTTTTGGTTTAATTTTAGTTTAAATTTTAGTTATTATTATTATTATTTTTTGGAAGAATTGCCATAAAAACCATACAGAACATCCATGGATATATTTCTCCGTCTCTTATTTCGTTCAAAAATTGCGCCAAGGAGTCAGTGGGTATCAACGGGCATCCGCGGCCACCATCGGTCCTGTGACTCCAGTGAACCAGTATCCAAATTATGACACCAAGGAATGACGGTTGAAATGGATCGAGAGAGCCGAGTGCCGCAGCTCTCACTCTCCGCGCATGCTAACGTTTCGCATCATGCCCGTTCATGGCGACGTGAGTCATCCCCGAGCGAACGATACTGGCGCGCAGTCACATGAGGTGGCTCTACCTTCGTTCCTTCCCCACTGGCGCAGCCCATCTTTCCTTCCGTGACATGTAGTCATCATGGACACGTTGGGAATAAATTTCATTGTTCTCATAGCCTAATTGACCATCCGCAAATTCACCTCCAATACCAATTTCATTCCCTGTATGGCAGTCCAACTGGAGTCCGGACAATCCTGAGCGAAGACTACGGCAGACCCGAACATTCCCCGTTCATCGGCGAAAACCCCGGACCCCGAGTCTCCACAGCAGGCCGGTAAAGCAAGAGGGAAGAGGGCGAATGTGGGATGTATAGAGTATCCGGTCGTTCAATAAAACCAAGAAAAGGACTGAATATGTTCGCAATTGACAAAAGACCTAGCTCCTAAATTTCGCCCATTTGAGACCTAATCTTCATCACATCTTGTTACCCTTGGGACTTGACATCGCATCTGACACTAACCACGACGGAACTTGAGCCATGTATCCTCAAAGCTGCCTGGAGCTCTCTACACCAATCCAACTTATCCCTATCAGAACATGAAGGCGGCGTCAACAACTCGATTTCAAGCTTTTCCAAGGCTTTCATTTGAGCCAAGCACCCATCGACCACCCATCGCTCAGCGACCCCATCAAGAGCGTCCGGCAAGCGGCTTTTCTCAAACACGGCATCTCTCGAGACGTGAATCAATACTCGCAGACCACGAAGACAGCTCGCCCAATTCGCACTAAGTATCCTCCATCTCTCGAAGCCGCTGTCGTCATGAAAGTCTGTCAACATTGTTTCGATTCTTGCAAATCGCATGGCCCCAGCTTGCCAGGGTTCGAACACGTCACTCAACAATGATGCCGCTGCAACTAGCCCGGAAGAATAACAATTCTCAAAAACAAACTCGTTGCTGTGAAATGGAATCTCCCTCGATTCTGTATATATGTGTCGACTTAGAACGAGGAGAGTACCCGGGAGGCAGTTATAGAGCCGGTCTTGGCGGAGAAGGTTGGAAACGCAGATTTCGCGATCCTCTTGTAATAGGTTGTCTTCGTCTTCAATCAAGACTGTAGACCGTGGCTGTCGCATAGGGAGGGGATATCCCGTGAGAGGTAAGTTCTTGTGCACCTGGCTTGTTCTATATACCCAGTCGTATATTTGGAGCCGGATCTCCACAGGCAGCGATAGTAGTAAACACGGCCCAGTATATTTCTCGGTAACACAAGCTTCCCCGTTTTTCAACCGGAGGTCAGGCTTCTTGTACGATGATTTTCCAAGGGGCGAAACACGTGCGGACAGCAAAGCAGGCGATATACTTGCAAATCCAACATCTAAACATCCCAACGCCGAACAAACAGTTGGAACGGCCATTGTGTGCGATCAAATAAACACAGAACAGATTTTTACCAAAATGTCGACGAAAGTAGAGAAATCGCCGAAGGAGGACTCCTCCTCTCGAAGACCACTTCTAGAAAACTACCGCGATATTTGCAGTGAGAACGGCCTTTGAGGCATCAAGGTACGATGGGCGGCCCATGAGATAAATGTCAGCCCTAGGATCGGAAGCCGTCTCAATACTCATGGTCACTGATTATAATCAGCCGGCGTTGTTAAAAGTCTGAAAGGGGCCTTCACACCCGGCAGACAGCCTTGGGCCACGTTGAGCTGACATCATCCTGGTGGCCCGCGCCAGGTATTGTTGCAGCCACCAAGTCACACGACATCCTTCAACACCGACGCAGCCGAAGGCCCCGACCTGCCCATGTTTTGCAACGTAGAGCCGTTGAGCTTTGGCGTTGGATTGATTCCTGCTGTGACGCCGAGTAATGCATTCCGCAAGACTGTTGCTGCAAATGGTCATCAGGAATGATGCGCGAGATACCTTCCAGAAGCTGTGTTCCCAACGTGATCCTCAGCTCTCCAGGCGTTGGCATAAATATTACACCAAGTCATCTCAACTATGATATCCCAGTTCGTCCAGAAAACCCCATCATCTACTGCATGTCTTTCCAACTACTCACCTAGGTAGGCACCTATGTGTAGCTGACAACGCCCCATGGGACAACCTTGTATTCTGACGAGACGGCTTTTCGCTACTGCATTTCCCCTCTTGCATGTCCTCTCGCGGGCTATCATTACCAGTAGGTTATAAACATGTCGCTTGCAAACTTCAACGCAATATTCATAAGTCGTGACCCAACATCATGTCCGCTCCAGACTTGCCTTGGCCGAGCCTCGTAGCCCCCTCGCCCTCTTCTCCTAAGACGAAGTGACACCGTCCATTCTCTCAGGCGGTATATTCACACCCTCCAGCCCCCTCTTCACGCCAACCTTGCGCTCAAACTCCACGTTCCGCGGCAGCTCAAAATCCCCCCTCGCCCCAAACCACAACAGCGTCTCCGGCTCAGGCCCCCTGGGCACCATCTTGCCGCCCTTGTCACCGTCCTCGCCCTCGTCCTCATCCTCATCCGCCTCGTCCTCGTCGTCGTCGCTCTCATCGAGACCCCTCCTCAGCCCGGTCCGAACATTGTCCACCCCTGCCTCCCTCTCCTCACGGGTGTACACATCGCCCGCCTCATCGCGCACATAGGCCGCAATCCGACCCTGCGTCCACTCCCGCAGCTCGTCCCAAATCGCCTGCAGCTCCGCGACGCCCTCTGGCGTCGCGAGCCTCGCCGTCTCGCGCCCCTCGGCAACCAGCTCCTCCACATCGGGCTCCAGCTTCTTGCGCAGCAGCTGCGTCAGGATATTCTCCTGCGTCCGGCCGGGGTAGTTGGTCGACGGGTGGATGACCATTCGCGTAAACAGCTCCGCGTTGTCGTTTAGACTCTCGAGGACGGACTGCAGGTTGCGCTGGAGGATCTGCGCAGAGGCCTGGAGGGACGAACTGTTGCCCGCTGCGGGTGAGCATACGTGCACCTGAGGTTCTGGGACATGATGGGCACTGAGAGACGTACGGGTGCGGCAGGGGATTGCTTTTTAGAATGTCCATCTTCAGGCTCTGGATGCTGCTGGATAGCTGGGCCAGCCTTGCGACGGTGTGCTCCACCGACTTGAGCTCGTCTTCGTCCAGCCCCAGCGTCGCCATGGTGGGTATTTGGGGTCGTCCTCGCCTTTGAATGCCCGAGATACCGCCAAATAAAAGTCTGATGAAGGTCAATGGGAGAATAGAGGCCGGGAGCGCTGATTGTTCGCAAGTGTGTTGTGAGGAGAGCTGTGGAGAGATGGATTAGCTAGCTCTCTTTGGTGTAGTTACAATGTCGTCGTCGCAACTGTAGGGACCCACATGGGTCTGTTTGGAGTACAAAGCTTACTACCCGTAGTGATGGATGAATCTAGTGACTGAGCATTTGCTATGCAGCGCCAAATTCCGGAGAACTGGGCAAAAGCCCTTCCGCTCTAAAGAAGGAAAGAGAGACTGAAAAGTGATAAATTGTGACCAAGAAACAGTTTCCTCGAGTGTTATATCTTGACCTAGCTTGAACACGCCGAACACTATACCACAGGCTAATTCGCGTTGGGGACCATCCTCAAAAAATTCGCATTTAAACTCCTAGATGACAATATCCATACATAACATACCATCCAAACAATCCAAGTTCATATCAATCATTTCCATGGCTGAGTCACAACTACCAGTTTCAGCATTTTGGACTTCGCAAACTGATGCTCCCCCTGATCTATTATTTCCTCAAGCTCAATTACGAGTTGAGTTGACTGCTTTGGACTCGTACCCGTTACTATCCACAAAGGGGAAACGAGCACGGCGCTCAAGAGCATCCAGAGGGATAGTGGAGCGGATATACCTGGCCAGCTGTTAGAGCAACAGTGATTCTTCGTCCATCATTCTTGACTGGCGTACCGCCCGATATTACTTACTTCATTCTACCATCATCTAAGGGATCGAAATCCCAGCTTGTGAACGCGCCTTCCTTAAGGGCATCCCAAACAACGCGACGGCTACGCTGAGACTGGAGGACCTGTGCTGTGATGGCGTCAAAATCCCACTTGGCCTTGGCCTCTGCGTCATATTTTTCGAAGAGCGCTTTAATTCCTTCTTCTTCAGCATTCTGTGGTGCAACCCTCACGAAGCGTGCCAAATTGTCAAGTTCTTGAGGATCCCGTTCCAAATTATAGAACTGTGGCTCGTCGGCCGGGCAAGTGATATACTTCCAAGGTCCACGGCGAATCATCATCATTGGTCGGACAGTGCCTTCGCCAGTGTATTCAGCAAAGACAGTGTCATGGCCTTCCCTGTTCTGAAGATGAGGTAACATGCTGAGCCCGTCCATGGGCAGATACGGAGCAGGTTTGGTGCCAATTAGATCGCAAATGGTTGGGAGCAGGTCAAGCGTTGATACATTTTGACTGACGCGGTGAGGTTGGAACCACTTCGGGTAGTTGACCAGTAGAGGGACTCTAACAGATGACTCGAAATAGCTCATTTTGTACCACAGACCTCGCTCGCCCAACATATCGCCATGGTCGCCACTGAAAATGATGATGGTATTCTCGGCCAAACCAGCGTCTTCAAGCGTCTCGAGAAGTTTGCCGATGCAATCATCCACGTAGCTGACGGAGCCGTAGTAGGCGCGTTTGGCTCTCTTAATTTGTTCGTCAGAAAAGTCCTGGTCCCAGAGGTCACAGACTTTCAGTAGGCGCTTGCTGTGAGTATCGAGCTCCTCTTTGGGAATGCGGACCTTTGGCAGCGCAATATCTACGTCCTCATAGCGGTTCCAGTATTGCTTTGTGATGGTGTAAGGGTCGTGAGGATGGGTGAGAGAAACCTATATATGAAGAGAAATGTGTCTGTTAGCGTTGTAATAAAGGAAAAAAAAAACTTATCTGTTCCCTCAAGCTCCTTTCCAGCACCTGACTTTTTTTGTAGCCCGTCTCATGTTGTCCGTTTGTGGGCAATGTGAAAGAACCAAGATCTTGCGTCGCCGGCAACAGGGCCCTCCTACTACCTATTGAAACATTCACTTACCGTCAAAGCAAACGGGCGCTTCTCCGGGCCTTCGCGGACGTGGTCCCACAGATACTGAACGCTTCGATACATGACCTCCTCATCATAGTCCAGCTGATTGCTACGACCACAAGGGCCTGCCTGTAGGATTGAACTGGCATTGTGATACCATTCTAGACGAGTATCGGGCTCATCCCAGTTGACGGCCCAGCCAAAATCCCCGGGATAGATGTCGCTCGTCAGACGCTGCTCATATCCATGAAGCTGATCCCCGACAAAGTGCATCTTACCTGCCAGAGCTGTGTGGTAGCCCTTGGAACGGAGATAATGGGCATAGGTAGGGATCTCAGAGTTGATTTGAGAGGCATTATCATAAGCGCCGATCTTCATGGGCAAAAGACCTGTGATCATGCTCATTCGGGAGGGGGCGCACAACGGGGAAGGACAGTATGCAGAATCAAACTGTACAGAAGTGGCAGCGAGGCGGTCCAGGTTTGGCGTTTTGATCTGTGATTCTGGGTTATACATCTTGAGCTGAGGGGCAGCCAGCTGATCAGCCATGATGTAGAGAATGTTTGGTTTCTCAGCGCTGCCCCTGGGAAGAGGTGCCGTCGTCTGAATGGTGTTGATATCGGGGGCCATGTTGAAATGATTGGAATAACCTATTGCTCGAAAGGATCTTTTAGGTCAGAATCTCTCAATCCTCCCTGTGCTCTAAGCTAGCTCTTTGGTCACTGCTGCTGTTGTTTCTGAAGCTGCTGGCTTCTACTCATTAGTTCTTTGGAAGATTCACTCAGGGATTGGCAGCTGGAACCAGCTGGAAATAGGTGCAAATCCGGAAAGGAGCTCTCGTGATGTAGATGGCGACCAATACAGCAGTGGAGACTATATGACAACTCAGAGCAGAGCGCCACACAGAAAGAGGAAAATGGTGAGTTCTCTGATAAAAGGGTAGGTACGGAGTACAGCTACTGCGTTCCCTCCCAATTCTCCGTCCTCCTTTCCACTCTAGAAGGAAAAAAAAAAGAGACCCCAAAAGAATAAAGCTCAAAGGCAACAAGAAGACTGAAGTTCGGGAGGCAAGAATCTCAGTCCTTCCTACAACGGATGTAGATACAGAAAGTGCTTCAATGTTTCGAATTAGCTCAAAAAAGTAGTCCAAAACAAAAAACAGTGATGGCAGCAATGCTTATGCGACAAGAACGACAGAATGCCAGCAACAGAAGGAGAGAGGTGTGGGAGAGCACCGGGCCATTTATGCTCTGTCTCTTCTCTCATTGTCAACCTGCCACTCGAATGGGAGCATCTCGCCGCACCCGGGGTCGTGGGGCTCACTCTCCACCAACTCAGTTCCAACACGGCGGGAACCCAAAGGAGGGAGGGGCAATCCATTGCGGAGCCGGCGTTCGGGCGGGAGACATCGAGGTTCTTGGTGTGAGAAGGTAACTGACTGGTGGTCAGCGTGTGCAACCCCAGCTAAAGAGGATGTTGCTGAACGTATCCTGGGCATCCTGGGCTCCATCTATGCAAAGTAAAATGCAATAGGTGAAGGGTTCATGCCCCAACCGGGCATTAGCTTTAATACGATGTGGTCCGGATAGTTGTCTTGCTACTGGTGCCCACCACTTGGGACTCAACTCACAACGTGTATCTCAAATTGCTGTCAACGCCGGTCTTTGACCAGCTTCGCGGTCTCGAACGGCTGTCCTAGTCAGGCTCTAACATCTGGCTGCCGCCTCCGACGCCATGACTGGAACCTCATTCCCCAGGAGAAATGAACCAACTTAGAACGCCATCAACAGCTGACCAACAGCCCCGACCCTGGAAGGTGGTCACATGGTGCCTCCTCAGCCAACTCGCACGCAAGGCAGCAAATACCTGTTGGGCATCGGAAAAATCGGCGGTGTGAACGACTCAACGCCCCTTGACTGCGCTTGCATTTCAAGAGGGCAGCAGAGGTGTGTGAGCTGTGGGTTCGAGGAGCCACAATACGCCTGTGAAACTACTGCTTTGGGCGTCGACCTCGACTTGGTTGGTCCATGGCTTTTAGCGCCGAACGATGATGGTCTGAAGCACAACCCTTGGACTGGGATTAGCAGGCTGGCAGGGCCGATGCTTAAATTCTTCTTGGCAAACTTGTGGATAGACCCCAGGTACGGCTTGAAGTTGTTCCAATCGGGTGTACTCCGTACTGCCAGACAGACGGTATTTCTTGCATTCGGGGCTGTGGAATGAAAGGGGCTGGCGCTGTCACAGGGGTGCCGTCCATGCCATCTGTAATGACTCGGAAGAGAGGCAAAGAACAATATTGTACAACATGTGGTGGACACGAAATGGTGTGGGCGTGGCATGGCTGTTGTTCGGTCGGTTAGTGTCCTATTTCTGTCCGAGTTTTTTTGGTGGAGGACTGAAGTTGTCAAGTGTCGAGGGTTTCCCCACGTACAAAGCATGTACAAAGTGCACAGTGTTGAGCCCGTGCCTTCCTGACTTGTGTGCGACGAGGCATACACTCTGACACCCACCCATGGACCGATGGACCGACCCCTTTTATTGCATGTGGATTCTTTTTTGCCATGTAAGAACATTGGAAACTCTTGCGCTAGTATGCACTAGCAAAACTGTCATAGCTCCCTCCTCTCGTCATCTTGATGCCGTCATTCAGCGATGTCGACATCGCCTTGGCGGATGACACCATGGCTGCTAACGCGCGCTTAGTCTAACGTCAATACTTAAAAGTACGGGGCGGAGCCGACAACTGGTTCAATCTCGTTCCACTTTGATGCCCCTTTATATTATCGACCGCCTGGGTCGTCAACCAACAAAACGACACGGTGACTAGGGCTCAAGTGTCCAAACACCACCGAGACAAGGACGAGTATTGCACCTCTCGCATAATGCTGCAGCATGCATAGTTACCTACCTACCTGGTAGGTAGATGGTCGCCTTGTCCCAAAGGACCCACGAGTCAGACAAACCAGCGCTAAACAGCACCACATGCAAATATACCCTTGAACCATTGATCGTCCAACACCCTACTTTTCATAACACAAGGAGGACAACAACCACCCTGCCCGTCAGCTTTCTATCGGGTTTGGCAACCAACCAACCAACCACCACCCTTGACACGTTCTGGCAAATCAGTTCGTGTAATCAACTCGCCTCACCATCACCGATATGCCGGCTTTACGTAGATCCCCTAATGGCTTGATGGCTAATGACAAGTGTGACCGAGCCGCCCGATATCCGTAGAAACAGATGATCGCCCGGCAGTTTGAACAAGACAGCTTGAAGATGTCAATGTCGGACAGCAATCTCAGACATGAAAACTTGGCACTCAGCAGTGCGTATGCTGAAGTCCAAGGGACTCGTACATCTCACAATTGGAAGAACTGTCGCATGTCCGTCTACCGAATTTTAGGCAAGTTATTCATTGATGACGCCAACTATCTCTTAGCCAACCCCTTTCAGGCTTCTCAAGCTGCCTCAATGCCTGTTCGATATATATACGTGAGCCTCTGATGGGCAGAAAAGCTCTAGTGTCTGCCCCCGTAGATGACTGACGTCGAGTTCGGGCAACAAACTCTCTACTCGCCGTCATCAATGGCCGAACGGCATTCAAACCTAGAATTTGTTGGGACCTCCTATAGACAAGATTAGTGTTTGATTGTTCGTTCACATGATGGTTTCAAGGGATAAGAGCATCAAAATAGTTTGTTCAAGGCAATCGAATTCTTCAAATCATCTACATTGCACCCCGGCAAAGCCAATTCCAAGGCGCCTCAGCTATTCCATACCCATATTCATATTCACGTCCAGCCCAGTCCATCCATACAGTCCAAACCCAAACTAGCGCATCAAGATTACGCATTTGTCAAAATCCCTATCCTATGATATAAAACAACAAAGGTTCTTGCATAGACGAAAATAACAAGCCAACAAACACCGAACCATGCTCTTTCCTCCTGTTCTTATCGCTAACCATTACATATGCAAATTCAACGCAACGTCAAGAGAGCGCTCCATCAGTCCACGTGTGCCTCCGCTTAGCAGAAGCATCATTACGTTCCGTAAAACTTCTTGTAAACGAGATGCAGCAACAAGTTGACGTTCAACTTCAAGTTGCCCTCAAACAAGTTCATGAACTGATGAGATTCAAACTGCGCTTGCAACATGTCCTCAATAGGCACCAAAGCGCTTGCACCCGGCATCTGAATGTGGCCTCGTGATCCTTCAATGGCAAACACACCAACCTCGTCACAGGAAATGGTAATGTTGATCTTGTCCCATTCGCGGTCACTGAGGCCTACCCATGATACCAAAACCCCCTTCTCGGAGAGCGTTCTGGCGCTGTACTTATAGCTCCCAAATTTGGGTACCCGACCACTTCGCTCAAGCTCACGCTGGTGGTTGTATTGCTTCGTAAATGGCAGGATAAACTTCTTCTTCCTGTTTATGGTTTCAATCATTAGCAAAAGTCGTCAGGTCAGGCTCATGGAAAGGAGCCACACAAACATACCCCTTCTTGTTCTGCAATGTCACCATTGCCTGCTCAATATAGTCGTCATAGCTCTTCCTTTGTTGCTCAAGATATTTGGCCTTTTCAGCTAGGTTGGCCAAAGTGAGCCGCACACCTTCTAGTTCTCGTTGTCTTTGAACCCTTCTGCGGCTCTTTGTTCGGATATCGCTGGCAATGGCGTTAAGAACGTCCTGGTAGTAATTTTGCTTCGAGATACGTCCCATCTGTTCTAGCCTCATTATATTCTCTAGCGCTGTACGCTTAAGCTCGTAGTAAGTCATCCTTGTCACATCCACCATATTGGTGTCCGAGTAAGCCCCGCGAGTGTTGCCATCCTTTGAAAAGTCATCATGTAGCACGGCTTGCCACTTCTCTTCGTCTTCCTCATAGATGGGTTTGACCAATATTTCTAGGAGGTTGGCGCCAGTTTGGACCCGGATGATATACAGCACGCAGCGTTTCGTCTCCATAAAGAGTGACTTGACATCTTCCTCTGGATCTTGGACATTGTGGAGCTTGGGGGTTAGGAACATTTGGATATCGGACGATCCAGCAGCATTCATTTCATTTTCATTGCTCTTTGCATTACCCAAATCCTGAATGATTTCTCGGAGAACATCATCCCTATTTGGGCACATGAAAGGAAGCTCCGACGCCACTAAATTATGAATTGCAAAAACGTCAGTCATCTTTATGTACAGAGTCGGCTTATTCTTGGCGTAGAGGTCGTTGAACTCATCGACGCCGAAGGTGCTTTCGGCATCTGCCACAGAGATCAAGTTCTGTAGGATTTGTCGCATGCGTTGGATAGAGTCTGTCACAAAGTTGTTCAGAGGTTGCAAATAAATATTTTCTCCGCCAAATAGTCGCCCAGACGCAACCTGCCCGATCACCTTGGCTACCTCACTCAAGTTTCTTCTTTGGAGCGGGCTCAATGACTTTTCGATAACACCCAATTGTTCTGGTTGGGTCAAGGCGGGCTGAAGGTAGAACTTCCAGATCCAGCTCGCCACGAGCTGAAGCAAGTTTTCTTGCGGCTCGCGGTTGAAGTGTTGGCACAGGGCTTGAAACATCTGGCTGCTCAAGAATCGTAGACCGTATGGCATCTTATGGGCCATTTCCTCCAGGGACAGGAAGAACTGATCGCAAATCTCCCGCAAATCCCGTAGATGGTCGATGAACAGGCGCCTTGTCTCAGGGTCCCTAATAGCCACCTCACGCGGTACGTCAAGCGGCCGGGGATCAGGGCGACCGGTTCGGAGCTCTTCGTTATTGATGGCAGACCGATAGATTTGCATAGGGTCACTTTCCAAGTCAAGGGCGGGATCTTCGACGATATTATCGCGGATCAGTGGCCCCAATAAACCACGCAGGTACTTGCGATCCCTAGGTGATCGGGTATAGTTACCCAATAACTTTGGCCAAAAATAGTTGCCTCGCATGTACTCTTGAATGGCTCGGCATCCTTCCACTTCCTCGCGAATAGCCCGGGCCACCAACTTCAAAAGATAGTACTCCTCGCGCCGCTTCTGCGCATAACCGAACAGACTCATGACGAGAAGCTCGATTCTCTTGCACTCCTTTTCTGACGTGCCCTGTTCGCGAAGGTGCTTGAACAGTCGAGCAAGATACTGTGGTTGCGTCTGCAAGCTAAAGAAGAGCTGCTGATATGACTCCAGCTTCTTGCGTGAGCTTTTATTGAGCGCCTTCAAGTCGAACTGATTGGCGGAAGTAATCGTGCTGTTGGCTAAAAGTCCCATCGAGTTTCCACCATAGTTGTGCTGATGTCGCACAACCTCATCGAGGGTGATCTTGTTCTTGACGAGGAGTGCAATTTTGATATCGAGCTGGTCGATATACTGCTCCAGCATCTCATTCTGGCGCACTTGCTGGACAACGGTTTTGCGCATTCGCTCAAATTCAACTTCTTCATTGAAATCAAAGTCACTGTCATTGAGAAGGTGAACGAAGTTCTTGACCGCATTGACCGGGGGGTTCTTTCCAGTGGTCAAACTTTTGTATGCTTCGCCTTGCACCTTGGCGCGTACAAAGCTCTGGATCTTGATGACTTTCTTCATGTTCTCGTTGAAATAACGCTTCTTCTCCTCGAATTTCGCTCGCACCATAAATCCCCTAGCGGCAGCTTGGAAAGCCACGGTGAATTCCTCCTCTTCCTCAAGTTCCGTGAGAAGATCGTCAACTCCTGCGCGAGCCATCATTGCCTTGAGAATTGCCTGGAATGCTGCTGTAGCTTCATTGTGGGACTCGAGTTCATCCAGGAGCGCACGGTGTTGCTTCCGGCCAAGGTAGCTTCGGACATGTGCCTGCAGTCCTGTGATTTGAGCCTCATGTCGTTTGAGTTCCTGTTGCAAGGCAGCGACCTTGAGTCTTTCCATCATTCCTCTAGCGCCCGATTGAAGAGAAAGAATTTCCTCTTTGCTTTCCTCTAGAGCGTCCAATTTTCTCGAAACTTCACGTCTCACAGCGCGTGCTCTTATCGCTGCCTGTAGTTGGCCGACATTGAGCTCGTGTGTCTGAGCTTCGACCTTACATGCTTCCTGATTTTCCCGCACAAGTTTTCCTCGAATCACGCCCTGGAGTGCCTCCCATTTTGGACCGAGGGCACGCAGCTGCTGCTGCTCACGGTCGATCTGAGTCCTGGTCAGCAGAGCCCTTGCAGCAGCTTGTAAGCTAGCAACCGTGCCAGCCTGTCCTTCCAATAACTGAAGATCCTTTCTGATTCTGGCTCTCAGCCCCATTCCACGAGCAAGAGACTGAAGTCTCTCGATGTGACCCGAAGTCTTTTTCGTCTCCTGCCGTTGAGCAGCCAGATTCTTACGGACCAGGAAACCCCTGGAAACTGCCTGGATCTCCCGGACAGGCCCCTTGCAACCGTCCAAGGAATACAATAAGTCTCGTACCTGATTACGGACCTGGTTGGCCCGGATCATGCTCTGAAGCTCTAGAATTTCCGGCTCATGAGCTTTCCAAAAAGCATCACTCATCCTTAGTCTCTCCCTGACCAAAAATCCTCGCGCTGCACTTTGTGTCAAGATGGCAGATCGTCGCATCTGGAGCCGATAGCTCATAATTTGACGGATGAAATCGCCACGAATACGGGATTGTAGGTCAATCAGCCAAGGCTCCTCATCCCAGAACTGCTGCATCTTATTTCCAAGTCGCAACCGAAGCAGGGCCCCACGGATTTGAGCCTGCAGATCGACTATCGATTCTTCGTTCTCCCCTAGCTCGCGATCGATGCGCTGTTCTTCCGTTTCAACAGGCTCGGGCTCCGGTACGCCAAAATCGGCGCCCATATTACCAAAACTGGGCATGTTAGCTCCCAGCATATCTAGACCCTTTTGCATTGCCTCCAATTCGTGGTGTTCAAACTCAAGTTGACCAACAAGGTTGCCAATTCGAAAGTCGACTATGCCCTTGCGGAAAAGGAGCCAACTTAATGCATGAATACAGTATATGACCTTTGGTATGTTCTTCTTCTCGTAAAGATCAATGAGTTCGAATCGGAAAAGATCGGGAAGTTCAACTTCGTCGAGATATCTGAAAAAGATGGCAATATTATCCGAGTGGCGGAATTGAAGTTTCGGATGGTGGAATACTCGAAAGTGTCTCTGAGGATTCAGCGCTTCGACAACGTTGGCTAGGGTGACTCCGTCTCGCAAGGCCTCCTCCAGCTCAACAATAGGTGGGAGAGTCTTTTGCGTGACATCCTCTATCCATTCTTTGGCTTCTCCTATGTGACAAAGATACTCATAGGCCTGGAGGAACTGACGCTGCTTATCCATCCAGTTCCGGCCCTCCCATCCATAGCCACCGGATTTGGCGCTGGGAGCACCGCTGGGCTTATCGGTACGCTGCAGTCGGCGTCGTCCACGTAAACCAACCACCTCTTGTGCAGGCGATGTGATGGTGAAGTCTTCTGCGACATCGGACTCGGCCAGTCGAGACAAGGTACGCAATTCACGGGTGGTGGATCGTCCAAGCAGCTCGAGGTCCGGGCGGCCGATGTGTGTGGTGTGAGCTCCTTGAGGCGAGCTACCATGTGACATGGGCGTTTTAGCTTGAAGAATCGAGTCGGATCGGGTCAACAGCATCGAGTTAGGCCTCATTGGCAACGGTCGTGGTGGTGATGTAGGCGAGGCTGCCGGACCGTCGTATTGACAGAGGGATAGCTTGCCAATATCGATGCTGTGTCCACGGTCATGTCGAAGAGAACTTCGAGGTGAAGCACCCTGAGCTGGAGATCTGGGGGACGAAGTCGGCGCCTGGGGCAGAGGCCGAAGAGATTGACGAGTAGGGGTCGCTGGAGGATTGGCTGGTCCCGTGTTGAAGCCGTTCATTGCCCCTGCTTCAAAAGTTCGTGCCCGAGCGAGGACATCGCTTTGGCCACGCTTGTGCTTGTGGCTAGCGGGAGAGCCGTGGTCGCTCGATGTCGATGTGTATTGTGTGACGTTGCTGCGGTCGGATGTGGAGGAGTAGCCCGAAGATGCGGATGACGAGGTGGTTGAAGGGAAGCGATTGATGTTGGAGATGCTGGTAGATATGTTGTTTTGCGTGAAGTTGGGAGGAGGAGCGAGGTCCGCGGTGCGCGATTGACGCAGACGATGAGAATGGAACGACATTGTCTGGATGTCTTGCTCCCGTGCGCGAAAGTGAATACACGCCGCTAGCTATATCTTGTTTGTTCGGACTCCTATGACAGACTGTACATCATTTTCGGTGGGTTTCGAGGATGGAATGGAATGTTGAGGCGGCCGCCCAGCGGGAAAACAAAGTTCTAAAATTGGGCCACAAGATGGCAAATCCTGAGACATGCGCTTGCGCAAATGATACAATGGGAGAGCAGATGCCAGCCAGAGAAAGAAGTATCCGCTGCAACAGAAGGGAGGCTGTATCAGCGGCGAAAGGATTCTGCCGTAGCCGTGTTGATGCTCGGAAGCGGGATACAAAAACCAGCATCACTGACCGTTGACAAGGACCTCAGGCCTGATGAAGAGGCCTAGCCTGAAAACAAGCAATGATCAAGATTGTTTGTCAAGAGTTATCAGGCAGTGCAGGCCTGCAGGGACAGCTCTGCACCTCACGCGGGGTTCCTTTTTCCGGGAGCCGATCCAGTTGCGTTTGGTGGTCAGTGATGTAAACAAACATGCGGGCCAACCACCCAGCAACGCGAAGAACTCCGCTGTGATTGGCTAGATATGTGTGCCGCGGGACGTTGCCCCACCTCTGCCCTCAGAGCAGCTATGGCGATACCGCCATATCAAATCACACGTGCTAGAACTGCTTTTGATGTTTGTATGATGCTGAGGCAGCAATTGTCCAAGTACCCTGTGTGTTTGGCTGAAACAACTAGTTCCTGGGTGTTGGCCATGACAGCTTTCCAGAAGATTTCTTATGTTAGAAATTAGAGTTTCTCACATTGTAAAATTGGCAGTTGGGTATTGTTTCCGCGCCGACTCTTGTTGGGTTTGGCTACGGAGTACGGAGTACAGGCATTCATTTGGCCACGATGCGTCTTACTACATCGAGATGTCGTCGGGAGACGGCGTCAAGTGTAGTTCACCTAGGAACTCTCGGGGTTCCCACAGCATTTGACCAGCCAATTCCTGCCGGAAATCGCCCGCCCTGCCAGCCAAAGCTACTGTGGCGTCCATCCAAAGTCGTGCAGTCAAAAAGCCACTTCCCGTACGGAGTAGAGAATCCACTATTACTACTCCGTACCACTGAACACATCATTGATGCATCCGACTACTGCCACCTCACGACCTTTTCGAGCCTTCAACACCACCCTCATCATCAGTTAATGCGAAATCCGTCCAACGCAATCGAATTGACAGCCTCAACAAATTACTACCATCCCCAATCCGAGCTTAAGCTCTACCTGTCGCACTGCAAAGGGCATACCCGACCTTGCCACCTGTTGCGAACATGTCGTTAGGGAAGCGAGGCCCTACGGTGCTAGTACGTTAATTGTCAATCCATACATGCATATATATATATATATATATCTAGCCTCCTTTTCCTCTTCACTGGCCCGGAATTTTCAATCGCTTACAATGGCGAATAGGTCACTGATGCGCGGGAGAGACCAAATCAACGCAGATCTCTTCGTCGCCAGGATGCCTCTTCCGGGGCACCTGGCCGAGTGCCAATGCGGTTTATGACCGTCGATAATGTTCTACAATACAACACACAAATTCCATCCGGACAGCCACGAGCACCCCCCATTTCACAGAGAACCCACACAGCTGCCGCAGCCAGCCAAGGCAGACGGGTCATTTCGGGGGGTGGTTTACCTAACCTTCAGTCACGAACCGGCCAACCCATGCCATCGCGAACAACCAAGATAAGCCAAAAGTTGGTTCTTCTTCCCGAAACCGATGATCACAGCGATGACGCGGAAGAAGAAGTAGAAAGCGAAACAGTATTGGCTCGGAGATTACAAAACGAAGAAAGTAGACCGCTGAGGGACGAGGAGTTGGACGTTCTGAGGAAAAGAGGCGGCGTCCGGGGGAAAAGCTATGCCGAAAGACTGCCCAAGCTGCAACGAAAAGACAAGGTCAGCCGATTAACAGCATACTGCACAGCTCAGGCGTACAAGACGGCGGAGACGTCAGAATTTTTGAGAAAGAAGCACGAAGCAAAGACGAAACTGTATGACGACTGTCTGTATGCCATCTACGCATTGCCGTTGTTGAATGGCACAGAGGGATATCGAGTACGAGGAAGGCCTATGCTGAAAACTCCAGGAACGGGTAAGACCATGCTCGACTTGGAGATCGAGAGGAGCGAGCAGCGTGACCACCACGAGGGTTATTTTGAAGACGATGCATATACTCAGCCTGAGAGCCCAGAACGAGGTAGCCGAGATTCCTCTGCCCATGGTTTCCCTAGATCCCATGAGCATGATAGCCGGCAGGAACAAGATGATGGCATTCCGTCGCAGATAAGCCGCCTGGCACCAGATGCCAAAAACTTTGCTGAGCTGTTTGTCTTCTCGTATGGTGTTGTGGTATTCTGGAACTTTACGGAACACCAGGAAAAGGATATTCTCGCCGACTTGACTTTCGCTGATGCTGAAGATAACATCAGTCTGTTGACTCGCCCGCTGGAGCAAGACGACTTTGAGACGGAAGAATTCCACTTCGAGTACAGCGCCGATGTCAAGCGACCAAGAGTGTTCAACGACATGATTACATTGTTGCCTCGGTCTGACCACATGATCAAGTTGACCATTAGCCATGCAATTGCTCAGAGCACCAAATTATGCTTTTTCGAGGAGAGGATGAGTGAAACTATGCTAGATGCGCAGCATGTGCCAAAAACGTTGGCGCTAACCGGTCAATTGAATATGACGAGAGTAGAGATTGTCACTCTTCTCGGTAGATTATTCAAGAGCCGAGTGGATATCAATCTATGTAAGTGGTCTCCCCTCCGCTATTGGAGCCAAAATTTTTCATGGAAATTCAACTGCACAAGGCTATAGGGGCTGTTTTTCTAACTCTAGTGTAATATAGCATCGAATATTCTTGATGTCCCAAACTTTTTCTGGGACTCAGAACCTACGCTACACCCGCTTTATGTTGCCATCCGTGAGTATCTCGAAATTGATCCTCGAATCAAGGTTCTAAACGAAAGATGCCGTGTATTTCTTGATCTCGCCGAGATTCTGTCGGACTCAATAGCTGATGCCAAGATGAGCTACATTACCTGGATTGTCATTATTCTCATTGTCGGCAGTATTCTCGTCACGGTAACCGAAGTCATTCTACGTTTTGTCATGCTCAAGAAGAGCGGTAGCAAACTTAATGAACCCTTCACATCAATATCCTGGCACGGAGATATTGATCCTGCTGAGGTCCCCGAAATCCGCTCTCTTCCGCCGTCAGCGCCCATACCTAGCCAATCTCGCACCAGCACGGCGTCAAGGAAAGAGACAGGCCCGAGCAAAGCAGCTGGCGTTGAAGCATATACGGATCTAGAAATTCTAGCTCTGACGCTAGGCCTGCAGTCAAACGCTACGTTAGACGATGTCAGACGAGGTATTCGCGATCTGAGACAAACAGCAGCTGGGCATTGCTCCACTGACAATTTGTCTCCTTTGGGTTCGGCAGAGTTGCGAAAGAAGGGCATGAGGGATGCGTCTTATTAATTGCAATTTAGTCTGGGCTGTTCTGTCGCATACCTAGAAAAGCAACATCTGCGGCACTTGGAAAACAGACAAATACTGGAGAGAGAGAGTCGCATGTACAGCACCAAGACTTACACAGGCTCGCGACTTTGGACCCATGCCACAGACACTGGGGTCTACAGGGCTTCTATGTAAGAGGTGGCGTCGTCCATTGATCAATTGCACACCATGCCATAGTTTTCTCCGGCACTCTCCATGGTAATATTTTTATCAATCTTTCTAACACTGCCTTGCATCAGACCAGCTTGCGCGTCCTCTCATTCCGATTATCCGCGCCCCGGGGGGGGTGATAAAAGCCTCAAGACCTGGAGGCTGAACACCCTTGCCTGGCCACCATTCCGTCACCATTTCAGACTTCCAAAGGGGGTCACTGGCCTGTTCACCAACACATCTAGGCACACAGTACACACAGCATAGCGTTACCCAATTGCTCAAATTCTCGAATTGGGTTCTTTACTATTATATACACTTTTTTTGTTTTTATGCTCTGTCCGACCCCATGTGGATGCACTTGTTCGCTCTGTGACGGGGATAATGTAGGGTCCTATGGTCCGAGGCCTTCGATTCTGTTCCATAAAAGGAAAGTATGTAAAGATTAACTAAGAAAGGTGGTCTGACAGCCAGCAAGATCGGCACCCCATGAACATAACATGCCAGCTTACATGATCATAAATGCAAACAATTTATTCCAGCCGGGCAGCAACCTTTTGTGCAACGGCATGTTGATTGCGTACTCCGTACACGCCGAAAAAACGAGACTATTGCGCGGCCTATTTCAAGAAACTCCGTTGGAACGTAACTTACACTATGTAAGGATCGGCCATCGGCATAAACAGCTTTTTCCCCGTTCCGTGCTCAGAAAAGTGGAGGGGGGACATGCTCAGCGACGAAACTCCGTACGGAGTACATGGAATAGTCAACCAGACGTCATTAATCTAGGGAATCTTGGTACCGCCCGCCCGTGCCAATGCAAGCAAGCAGCCCACTCACAGCCCACTCCCCCCTTCAATTACCCTGGACTTACGGAGTACTATGCCCGTAGATACCCCGTAGCTTAGCCCGAATACAAGGCACAGAGTATTGCCGAAGCCTGCACGCATTCTTTTGACATCCAAACAAGCTTACATTTCCCCCTCAGCCCATAAGCCACTTACATTTCATCACACGCCACATCAGCTCATAAAACTAAATAAATAAATAATAACATTACAATACACACTTAAATGAACACCAGCTCGTAGCCGCCGTTTAGTCTGTTTCTTTCTAGGCCTCGTCGCCAACACGTCGCCAAATAAAAACCCGCTACGGAGTAGTCCTAGCGCAGAGGACGCGTATGCTTTTTTTCTTTTTTTTTAACTCCAGGTGTCTCCCAGCAACGCCACATTTCAGCTTTAGCCTTTTCCAGGCAAAATCCCAGTTCGCATTTGTGCTCTCAGCCAGTCTACTCTTTTCTGCCGCTGCCGCTGCGGCGCCGACGCCGCTGGACTTGCTTGATACGCAAACACACAAGCAAACCTTGCTGTGAGCAATAGGGATCTGCTGTGGCGGATCATGTGATTCTTTCGATGCGCTGAGCCGTGTCTTTCCCAACCATGGCTGCAACAATCTTGTCAGATGGAATGTATATGACGCCACTGTGGCATTGTAATCCAAGTCTCCAACGCCATAACAGGAAACTTTGAGAAGCCCTGTCTCGTATAGAATGAAGCACGAGGGCCCCACTGTGCACATCATTCGAGGCAGGTTGTAGCTGACGATGCACCGCATTGAAATGTTGGGTATTATTTTTATTTGCTTCCCTTCTTTTTATTCGCGAAAAACGCTTAATGATGGACAAAACTACCATATCCTGGAAGTATTACAATGCCTCGGCGCACAAATTCATTGTGCTCGTTGTACCGGCGGTCATGTCCCAACGCCAAAAAGCTATCCCGTGTGATTATGCACCTCTTCCCTCTAAAGTAATAATGACCAAATGTAGCCCGAGTCCCGGCGATGCTGATATTTATAAGTGGCTGGTATGTAGAGCTCGGGAGGATATGTACGCCGCGCAAGTCTCCGGTATCTCGTGGATGTGCTGCAAAACGTGCTCGCCTCGTCAGAGCAAGAATATATGCTATGATTGGAGTGGATCACTCTTTTTCACTCCTTCCCCATGCCCGAATCCCACCGCTTCATCTGTCGGCTGTTTCGGTCATCTAAAAGAAACATGGAATCAACTGGGTATCTCCAAACAAGAACATAGCACTTCGCACTACGTGGGATTTTGGCCCACAGGTTTATATTGCGGTTGTTGCTTCCTCTTCTTGTTGTCCAGTTCGGCCTTGCTGTAGATGCCAGCGCCAACCATTGTAACAGCCATGCCCGCTCCATTGAGCAGATCAACGCTGACATTGAAGAGAAAGATGCCAATCAAAACGGTAAGACATTGCTTCAGGTTGCCGCACACCGTCATTGTCAGAGCACCCGCAAGCTTGTTGGTGTTGAATGAGGAAATATTGAGGAGGAATGCAAGGAAACCATTTCCTGTTAGTGATGCAATCGAGGTCGGTAGGGAAATCTCTCCAGAGGTTACAAGTTCTTGGAAGCCACCAACTTCTCCTGTGGCAGTAGCACACGCCAGGGCTTGCAATGCAGCCAAGGGTGACATGCGCATGAGAAATTCTACCGGGGGTAATGCCAGGGAGCCAGTCATAAATCGATTCGTCACAACGGTCTGGGTTTTCAGTTAGCTGCAAGGGAGTTCTGCTGCTGTGGAGCATTTGTGTGACATACCTTGACGGCAGCCAAAATCACTCCGAATATGGTCAGGAGGAAGCCGGCATCGGTAAATGTCATCTCGCCGGCCGTTGTCATGGCGGCACCAATGATTAACGGTACCAGAGAAAGGTAGGTCATGTAGCTGTAAGTACGACCATACCAGGTGCGGTAAATGAGGATGGTGAAAATGGGACACAGCATGCGCATTGTTTGGTAAAACGGAACGGATACCATAGCGAGAGACAAGTTGGACACAGCAATGTTGGCGGTAAATAATGCGCTAAAAGCGACGAGAGCTAGGTTTTCGCGGCGTCCCAGACGCGATAGTTTGAAATAGCCCAGCTGCATCATGGCACAGGTTCCCATGCTGGCAAAGGAGGCGTGAAGAAATGTGAGTAGCCATGGGAAATGGAACTGCAGGTTTGAGCCATCATCAGCACACAGGTCAAGCAAAATGTAGTGCCAAAGCATTCAGAGAGCCACAGGTAGGGAACAGAGGGTAGTAAAAGATATAGACCTAAAACTCACCATGCCCAAAACTAGCTTGTTATAGAGAGTCAGAAGCAAAGAAAAGAAGAAGTACGTCCCCAGCCATGTAAACTTGATGGTGCTCGGAATTGAGTATTCGTGATCCAAGTTTTGGTCCCGTGATGTCTCTGAACGTCCTGCACTGGCTTCGACATCTTCCTGGCTCGAAGGCTTCGAGTCATCGTTCTCTCCTTGTGAGAGGAGGTGAACAGGTTCGTCGTTAATCCTCTGTGACATGATTCTCTTTTTTTCCGTCAGGGTGAATAATAAAATTCGATAGGTGATTGTAGTCGAAGGCGATGAGGGGACCAGGACCTTCGGCTGCCAAATTTGCGAATTGTGCTATGATGACGGGAGCATAGTATATTCGGCGTCAGCCTGGAATAAGATCGCAGCCCAACCTGACGGTTGATCAATGATGTGGCCCTTTGAACAAGAGTATAAGAAGCGATAGATCAGAATGTCGTATCGCAGCAAGATTCGGATCCGGGCATACGGCGGCCGCCAACTGGGGCACTTCTAGTGCACGAGTAGAACCAGCGATATAGACAGACCAACAAGAAGGATAAACCAGGAGCGCAATAATAACGGAATAAAGTAGAGAGCGTGGAGGGAGATTAGAGCGAAGACTCCCGCAAAGCCGAATCAATGGCACAACAGGCTTAGAGAACAAAGAAAAAAGGAACGAGGGTGATTGCGCGGCCAGGAAGAGGTAAAGAAGAGAAGTGGTAGGAAACCCAGTCTGTATGCGGTGACAAGGTGCAGTGGCTTTACTCGAGCGCTCAAGTGCTCAAGTGGATATGGCTGAAAGTCGGGTCACAAATATAGGTAGAGAAGCCGGCACGTCGGGACGGCTGCGATGGGTATCGCGCGCATGTGTAGTGGTCATTGTTGAGAGGATAGAGGGGGGGTGTGGCACTAATGGCCATTCAATCTTCAAATCTGGCTCAAGTGCTGTCTGGTCTTTTACGAACACCAATGCGTGGTGATGGCCTACCAAACCAAACCCGCTAACTGCTGGGTTCAATCCCGGAGCGGAGTGGGTACGGGTGAGCGAGGAGGCGGAAAAGGGGGGCGCGATGCAGCAGTTTGCGTGGCCAGCTGGGAAGGAGCGCTGGAGGTACTAGGGCAGGTTCCACGGGGCGGCACCACTTACCAACTGCACACTGGGGCGAGGTGCCAGCCGAATTGTCCACCAGTTATTAATTCATATCAACTGGCGCTGAACAGGCCCGCACGGTCTTGGCAGCTGACATGGCGCGAGCAAACCTTCAATCTTCAAACACTCAGTGGTGCAACTTGCAGGGGACGCCCGACGGAAAAGTCGGAGACCAAAGACGAAATAGACTCTGACATTGTCGACGTTGTCACGACAGTGGACTCGGACGGCAGTGAAGAGCCCGCGTCATCCTCATTTGGGCTGCCACGGGAGCCACACTGCAGGCAAACTGCATAACAGCACGAATCGATAAACCGATTTGGCCGACTCTGTGTTGGAAACTGCCACAAACATGAGACCACAACTTCCACCAGCTTGGATTTAGCACAGCAGCTACAAATTTCTGTAGACCGAGCAAGTATAGGGGTTAGCCAAGTCAACTTCCAAGATACCCGACACATCAATCAAGTCGAAAAGACAAACAATCAAAGGAACAGAAAGAAATTCGTTCATT